CGATCTGCCAGAGAGACCACTATATACATAAATATGTATATTTGTGGGTATATGGAAATGCCTTGGCGAAAAGCGTGAGCATCTATCGCACACAACGTGGCCAGCAATTTGCATACTCGCTTTTTGTCCGGCAATCGGCTGAACACAAACAAAAACGTGCTAAAAATCAAACAAAAAACTTGAACAAAATCTCTGAAACTCGAGTGTTCAATTAACACACACACACACACGCACACACACAAAATGTCGGTATCGGATGCCTTTCCTCTCGGGGCAGAATCAGCAACAAAAAATTTCATCTCGCCGGACCGGAGATCACAACTTTGAGACAAGTTCAACAAACCGCTCTGTGGCCGGAATGGAGCGAGGAATGCTGCTGGCAATCGTTTAATTTGTTTATTATTAATTTGCATCTGGCAGTGGCATTAGTCAGCTCTGCGAAATCGTCTCTCCCAGCTGTAGTGCCGCCCCTTTCCTGGCCCCGCCCGTCAGCTGGATTCTTGTGCCGCTCCAGAGAAGGGTATTCGAAGGCGATGTGAATGCTTCTAAATTTATCCGCCTACGTGATTCAAGTGATGTTTCTGTCCAAAGCATTAGTGATTGAACATTTTGCGGTTTGGTTTGAAAAAATGTTGGGTATTTTTAATGATTCACGAAGGCATTTAACAGTTTTTTTCGAGGGTATAAACAACGCAACGCAAATCAAGATTAAAAATCCCATTTGATGTTTGCTTTAATCTGAAAAGGTTTGATTTAAATAAAGATAATAATAACCTTCTTTCATGAAACTTCATTAATAACTGGAAAGTGGAGTTAATGATGATATTTTTTATAGCTTAAAATGAAAAGTTTATAGGGCAAGGAAATGTGAATGTCTGGTTTTGATAATTATTTTAGTTAATTAAACAATTTGGTTTACCAGCTCTTGGCTTCTACTAAAACATAAGATATTTTTCTTTGCCAAAAGCTAAAAATCTTAGTTAACCAAGCAATATTCTTTGTATTTAAATCCCCATTGATTTTTCAATCTAAATTTTTCTCAGTTCAATAAAATCTTGGCGGCCCAAAAGTGCATTCGGGCTTCGTTGTGCATGCAGTTTCCTCTCTGTTATTAATTGCAAATTACAAAACTGCAACTGGCGACCCACTTTGGGGCATTCTCAGCGCCAGTCGCGAAATATTTTGCTGGCATTTATCATACGCCCCGTGGGCCGCGGCAGCAGCAACAAATTATGCCACCAGAGTTTCACTTTCTCACTGGGCCAAGTGAGATTTTATTTTGTCTCAGTCAGTCCGTCCGTCCGTCAGGTTGTCAGTGGCAATCAGGGGCCAGCTTTTGATATGGGAGGCTGACCTACCTACCTGTTGCCTGCTTGGGCCGGGGAACGAGTTTTGGGCAGCGATGGATGGATGGCAATGAAATGAAAAGCCGGCGGAGCTAACCCAATTTAATGGACCTCTTTGCGTGGGAATGGAAATGCCCGTATCGCTCGCTGAACCGCAGGTCAGCCCTGCCTCCAATCACACATATTGCGGCCATCGCAAGTACCGAGCCGAGGCAAGTTCAGAGATGGAGAGAGCAACAAATTGCTGTGCCGGGAACCACTTGGAGGCACTTGGGCTCGCTCCATTAAATCATAAAATGTGCGCACAAGCCGGCGATCAGTGACCGAAAAACCGGAGTCGTGGCCGAGGCTCGTGTCTAACTGCAGTTGTGCATCAATGGTCATGTGTGTGCGCAGAAAACGGTTCTCGACTTGTCAACCGATGGCTGCATCTCCGGCCTCTTGGCCAACGGGAATGCCGAGTGACAGCAACGGGACTCGGACTCGGACTCGGACTCATGAGTCGCACTCACACATGCACTCTTGCCTCTCTCAGCTGGTGCCAATTGGCCTAATCGGCCTGCTAAGCTATTGCCAATAACCGTTGGCCAATTACTTAGCGCGTTGTGATTTATTCACACCAGCAGGCCAACTGGACGCCGTTGACAGGCAAATATCCGCTACCTTTTGGTCTTGGTCTCCGGTCTCAGGCGGATCATGCAACGATCGGTTGACCCACTTCGGTTATGGCCAGCTAATCAAGACTATGATATAATTCTGGCCAGGCTGCAGCTGTAACTGTCTTTGTCCGCTTCCCCGGACCGCAGCTGCAGCCAGTTTTTCATGTGGTCGGTATGCGGCCAGATTGGCCACCGGAGACTCACGATCTGATAAAGGTAGCTAAGGCTTGGCTAATGGAAAGCGGCTAGAAGGCCACCCAAAAATCTGCACAAAAACAATAGGAACTGTAGGTATCAGTTCCCAATCGTGGGAAGTAAGCAATCATATTTGGCTTCAAGCCAAGTTTAAATTAAGCTTGAAACTAACACTAGTTCGGCTGTTAATAACACTTTTTTGCTTATGAGGTAGTAATTACTACACTTTATTTTTGTTCAGTTGAATGATTTCAAATTTAATCACGAAATATATACTTTGTTCTTTCATAAAGAAAAGATCATTGGTATGTGACCTACTGTACGAGCATTTAGCTAAATTCCAAAACGTGCTAAGGCACAAGTTTTCACTGTTGTTGACAATAACTAGAACTTTATGGCTTCGCAAGCAAATTTTAGAGTATAAAGCTTAATTGCAATATACTGCCCCGAAGTTTAGTTATAATGGCAAAGTCCCCGTCGAAGTGGCCCGGTTAAGCGAAAGAAGATGTGCTCGTGTGCCATTTTAGCGAACAATTGATACAATTAGTGGTAATTTTGTATCTTATTCAATTTCCCAGACATACATACATCCATAATGAGCTAGTTTAGATAGTTTAAAATACAACAGCGAGGCATTAGTTAAAAACTAAAAGTCATTTCAATCATATTTCACTTTCCTCCGCCCATCTCGCAATGTTTTTGCTTCACGCACTTGTGCGAACAATGGATAGATACAGATACGCGTACTCTGCGATACTTAGATATGGGCTCCATCTTCGGCTTCGACGTCAGCGGAGCATCGTGATCGCATAAATCAATGCCTCTGTCTCGTGGTCGGAGCCGTATCATTGCCCCCAATACCACTCATTCACTGCAACTGCCGTGGAGCACAACAAAGCGACGCTTTAGATGCCGCAGATCTCTTTCTTTCTTTTGCGGCCCCTAAGGTTTGCTCGCTTTTTACTATGGAGGAGTACACTCGAAGAAATATCTTTTGTAAGGGAATGTATTTTAATTCTACTATAGATTTGTGGCTAATGAAACCCTTTAGCTCTGAGTAATCAAGCCCTAAAGTGGGTCTGCTCCTTTCTTGCCTTTCGCTACCTAATGACTAACTAAAGCTAAGTAAAATGATGAATATCTGTATAATGTTTCTAGATTACCATATTATAGAACATGGATAAATGAAATATTTAATAAATACATAATGAAGTAGCAGATGTATCTGATAGCTTCGAGTATCTGTATCTGTAGCTGTGTGTAGGTAGTAAGGCCTGGGTGATGCGATGCGATGCCCTGTCTCAACTGTATCAGGCTCTCTCGCGGGTATTAAAACCACCTTCCCTGACTTCCACTTTCACTCGGCGCCAAGTGCTCTGGCTAAAAAGAAAGAAAACTAAAAAAAGGTGGCCCGGCAAAACGGTTACGGCAAGAAAAAACAGAGGCAAATAATTGTGGGGGAAAGAAATGATAATAGTAAACAAAAAACGCTGGCAGACAAACAAAATCGAGTAAAATGCGTTGAACTGAGGAGGAAAATCCGTTTATGCGATTATGCCACAAGCGATTTTAATTAAAGTGAATTTAGCACGCAATTAAAAGTGTTAGTACTCCACCAGACATACATACATTTTACACATTTAATAATAATCGGCACCTTAAGCTGGGCGAAAGCACTCTCGGCCCGACATGCCGTAATCCCAGCTTTCTTCTGGGCACCAGCCCCTCCCCAAGACCCATTCGCAAACCCAGCTTCACGAAAGTCTTGCAATTGCAAAGGCAACATTAGAGTATGGACCACTCGTACTCACTTTCGCCGGAGCATCTTGGACTGGCACTCGTAGAACTCTTGACTACGTAATCCAACTCCAAAAACGGAAGTCCGCACGCCTCGCTGCACTGCAGCGGGCCCAGATCCGCAATCCAAGTGCACAATCCGGCGACAGCGTCTGGGGCAGGTGCACTAGTTTGTTTGCCTTTCATTCGATTGCATAATGCAGCCACAGCAACGGCACTAAAGCAAATAGTTAACACAGCAAACAACATTTGGCCGCCTTGCGGCTCATTTGCATGAGGGTTTTCTCTGTTTTTTGGTTGGTTTTTGTTTGTTTTTTTGGGCCTGTTGCATTGGCAATTAAAAACCCAGGGGCCGTGTCGAAATCACCTGCGCTTTGTTCTCCCGCCCGGTACTCCACTCAAGACCCAAGACCAGGGCAATCTGAAAGACAACCCCGATTAGGTGTCATTGGCTTGGCGGGTTTCAGTGTACCTGCTCAGGTTAGGATGCCCAAATAGATGATATGCATCTTAGCAAAAGAACCCAACGTACAATTACTACTTAATACTTACGATAGCCAATGAGAACAACCTAGAAAGTAGAAGATGAGTTTCATTAACCTGTTATACATTTATTCATGATTTAATGTATCTTAGATAAATAATAAAGACTGAAAAGTTAAAGGCCTCTTTGAGAATTCAACAGAATATTTATTCGGTTATTGTTAGGGTGTCTCAAGTTCGTTTCGTACTTCATATCCGACACAATTTCCGCTTTTGTCATAACAATGGCTGTGACTGCGACTGTGACTCCGATTCGGATGCCAAACTCCAACTGAGACTGCGTGTGGATGTGTGGATTGGTGGATATATGTGGGCATTGTCATTAGGCTAATTCCCGCAAATTATGAGTAATAATAGCGCAGCCATTCTCGCGGCATTCTTGACCCAGTTTGACTCGGAATTAGCTTACGCTTTTGGCCCGAACTCTCTAACCTGATGCTCCGACTTGGAATACTTGCAGACCATGGAGCTGAGCAACTTTTCCAGCAGCAAGAAGATGTCACGCGAGGAGCGACGCTACTCGGTGCCCCACGGACCCAATACCCCGCTGCCGCCGGCGGCCTCCGAAGACCTGCACGCCTGGTCCATCTACAGGTGAGTCGGACGGACAACTCCCTTCCTTCCAATGGCAGACATGGGTGCGTCAAAGCCGCACCTGTCTATCGGAGTTTTGACGGTTGATTTAACCGCAAAAAGCGGAAGTTTAGATTCCATAAAGACCTCAATTGAACGCGGACAGACGGTGGCCAAGCCCCCTAATCATGTCCAGCTGACCGCAACTGCAACTCCCTAAATGCCTCGCTCTCTTCACAGGCAAAACCTGAACTCTGACTTCACCGATTCGGCTCTGGGCTCGTCGGACAAATCACCGCTGCCATATGGAAACTTCCAGCTACGCGACACCACAGTGCAATCAATCTTAAATCATCCGCGCTACGGGCCCAAGTGAGTAATCCCGCAAATGATTTAAACAAGCAATTATTAAACATAATCAGGCGTTAATAATGCTAAAACATGATCTCAGTTTTGGTTATTACGTCTGCCTAGACGTTACACATTCAGATTTATGTTGTACATAACTTTAAACATCTCTCAAGTTCTCTTTTGAAAACATTATTTCTTTTTCTAAACTTTTTAAATATATATTTATGTGTTACTAATTAATAAATAATTGTCTATTATTTTATTTTAGATCTCCGCTGGGTTCCAACATGTACACCTACTTGAAATTCGGACTGCCGCGCGTCTTTCCGCCCAATGCCGGTTCGCAGCGTTCCCACCGACCAGGTCCGGGTCCGGGTCCCGGCTCTGGCCCAGGACACGGTGGTGGTTCCAGTGCTCTGGGTGGAGTGCGTGGCCGTGTCAATCGTGCCTTCCGGGACAGCTCGGGAGCTCCGGCCGGTGCAGGAAGTAGCGGCTACGATAGCAGTGACAACGAGACGACCCGGAGCCGGGTGCCGCCCAATCTCCGGAAGTATCGCAGCGAGTCCGACTTCCGTGCCATCGGCGGAATGCCGCACTCGCGCCCAGAGTCGCGAGCCCAGATCGGCGGGGGAGGTCCTGGCGGTGTCCCAGCAGCTGCTCTGCGCCAGGCCAACAGTCGGGCCAGCATAGCAGTGGGTCAGCACCACCATCACCAGATGCAGCAGCACCAGCAGCAGTACATGGGCAACGGGAAGCACTACGGACACAGGTCGCACAGCGAAGCTGATCTGCTGGGCGCCGGCCTGGGCCATGATGGCGGAGGTCTGGGCTACGACTACCACGATGCCAGGCTGTACGGCAGCTCCAGGCAGTATGGGAACGGAAACGGAAATGGCATCAGCCACGGCCGGAAGCAGTCCGGCATGGGTCTGATCTACCCGAACATCCAGGTGCACTGCCTGGACGTAAATCCCTGCCTGCGCGGCGTGTCCATGCAGGCCAAGGCGGGCGACCTGTTCGCCATCATGGCCACCTCCCAACGGGAGGGCAGTGCCCTGGCCGAGTGCTTGGCCGGATTGAGTGAGCGGCTAGGAGGAGAGATCCTGATCAATGGGCAGCAGGTTAACCGCCGCGGACTACGGGAGCTGTGTAGCTATGTGCCGGCTCTGGAGGTCTCCTCCCTGGACCCACGGATGAGTGTCCAGTGCACCCTGAACTTCCATGCCGCTTTGCGGGGCCCCCTGGATCGCAGCGATCTGGAGGAGCGCATGGACGTGCTGATTGAGGATCTGGGCCTAAACACGGTGCGTGCCTCCAATGTGTCCACGCTGACGCACTCGGAGAAGCAGCGCCTGAGTGTGGCCTGCCAGCTGCTGGCTCAGTCCTCACTGCTGATCCTGGATCAGGTCACCAGCAACATGGACATCTTCGACACCTTCTTTCTGGTGGAGTATCTGCGGCAGTGGTGTAGCGGCGGCCGAATCGTGATCATGACGCTGCAGCCGCCCACCTTCGAGATCCTGTCCATGTGCTCCGGCGTGCTGCTCCTCTCCGGCGGCAGGACCGTCTTCTCCGGCAGCCGAGCAGATCTGCCGCGACACATGGGCGAACTGGGCTATCCGTGTCCGCCCTTCAAGAACCCAGCGGATTATTACTGTGAGTATTTCATGAGCTTGGCTTGCGACGTTATCTTTACTATATAAATATGAACACCCCCTACCAGTGGACCTTGTCACCTTGGATGACCTGTCGGCGGCTGCCATGCTAGAGTCCTCGGCACGCATCGAATCACTGGCCAACGCCTGGGATCAGATCAATTCGGAGCCACCGCTCGCCGCCCCGCCCGCCTCGCTGCCCAACTTTACGCTAAAGGCCGGCTTCTTTGGGCAGATCAGTGCGCTGATCAAGCGATTCGCCGGCTACAAGCAGCCGGGATCGCTGCTCACCTGGATCAGCAAGCTGATCGCCGCCGCCGTGCTCTCGCTCTGCATAGGCTGCATCTTCTGGGACGTGCCCGCTTCCGATCCGCAGCTTAGCTATCACGACCGCCTGGGCTACCACCACTGCGTTATGGTGCTGGTCTACTGGCCGCTTGTCATGCTCACCATTCGAGACACGCAGGAGGATCGACGGCATGCGGAGCGGGATATCCGTTTGGGGCTTTACACCCGAAGTCTCTACATCATAGTGCAGGTGAGATTTAAGGAAAGATAAGGAAACGATTATAAATTTTAAGTTAATATTTAATTTTTGCAGAGTCTCCTGGGCCTGTTCCCTAGCTTATGCATCTGGCTGGCCTATCTGCTGCCGGCCCACAGCATGGCAGGACTCTACACCTACTCCAACAGCAGCGACACTGGCATCTACCTATATATGGGTAAGGGATCCTATTGCAGTTAAACCTCAACAATCTTAACATCCAATCGCAATTCCAGGTTACATGCTGCTCTACTTGACGCTCATCCAGACGCTGGCCCTGTTCTGTGCCCACCTGCTGCCCTGCAAGGTCTCGGCCAGCATTGTCAATGGGCTGATTAGCCTGGCGGTGGCTGCGGTGGGTGGCTATCTAGTGCATCCACAAAACCTGGCCAAGTTCTGGTCTTGGCTTCAGTTCGTCTCACCGGAACGGTGGCTGCTGCCTGTCCTGGTGCAGGATGAGTACAGTGCCGAGACCCTGTCCAACTCCGCCGGACTGCAGCTGTGCCGCAACAAGCAGGTGGGTCTCAGTCTATTATTATAATTTTTAATTGAAATTAAATAAATTAATTTAATCTAATAAATCAAACACTTGCAGGTGCAGCACCAGGAGATTATTGTGCAGCAGCCCTGCCCGCCGCCCAACGGCACCCAAGTGCTAGTCGACTTCGAGCTGCTGCCCCAGCAGCATGTGCTGGATCCCACGCCCAGCTACGACCAGACCACATCGATGGCCCTGGTTCTGGCCTCGGTGCTCGTCTTCTTTGTCACCTTCATTGTCTTTTTGTGCAATTGCCGTGGTGCGTGTCGCAAGCAGCGCAGTCGGTAGGCTGAATTCCGCACGACTTGCAGCTGGCCAGGATCTGGAACTTGAATGACCGATGGCCCAGCCTCTCGAACTGTACATTCAATAGAAACTAATTATTGAAATAAATAGTGTTTAGTCGAAGGAAGCGTTCGTTTAACTAACTAAAGGCAAGTGTTTTCATTATTTATTGAGCTTGGAATGGAGAGATAGGGCAGTTGGGTTGGGTATTTAGTTTTACAAACTTTGTATATCTAAAGGGTTTGAGCTGTTTTGGTCTTAAATATATATCTAAAAAGGTTTATCAAAAATATAGTATATATTATGTCTTTTCGCATTAATTTTGTTGAAAAATCCAGCTATAAAGGATAGTCAAGGCATCTTTAATGATGGAATAGACGCAAATTGGTGTGAGCCATGATGATGCCGTGCTCGTCGCAGGCAGCAATGACACCAGCGTCATTGGTGGAGCCTGCGGGACTGCCGATGTAAGACACACCGCTCTGCGAATATAAATCAAGTCAGAACAATGGATACAGAAACGGAAATAAAGCAAAATACTTACCAGACTTGCGCGATCGATGTTGTCGCGGAATGGGAAGAAGGCATCGGATCCAAGGGCTACACCGCTGAGCTCCTTGAGCCACTGTACCTTTTGTTCGCTGGTCAACAGCGCCGGCGCCTTATCGAACCTGTCACACATTCAGAGTTGTAAAAGTATACAAACAATATCCTATATCCTGCCCACTTACATTCCCTCGAACTGCGAGAGCGGCATATCCTTGCCCACGGTTCCGTTCACATAGTTGTCGATCGCATTAGAGATCTCTGCCCGCTTGACGCCCGCCTTAAACTTCATGCCGGCCACACTGGGATGCTGACGCAACCACCAGTTGTCCGCCTTCTCTCCTGCCAGTCGTGTGCAGTGAATCCTTGACTGTTGACCAGCACCGATGCCGATCACCTGGCCATCGCGGGCGTAGCACACTGAGTTGCTTTGCGTGTACTTCAAAGCAATAGTAGCAACGATCAGATCACGCACAGCTGCCTCAGGCAGCGGTCCCTTCTTGCTCACAACATTCGAAAAGAGCGAGGGGCCAATGACGGCATCATTGCGCTTCTGCTCCAGCGTCAGGCCAAATATGGTCTTGCGCTCCACAGCAGACGGCTCATAGGTAGGGTCCATCTAGAAGAAAAAGAGTTGTTAGTGAAAAATTCTAATACATTTTGGATAACTCTGACCTGGAGAATGCAGTATCCTCCGTTCTTCTTCTTTTTCAGGATCTCTAGAGCCTCTGGCTCGTAGCCAGCGGCAATGATTCCGTCGGACACCTCTCGCGAAATGATCCTGGCGGTGACCGCGTCACACACTTCGGAGAGAGCAACAAAGTCGCCAAAGGAGCTCATGCGATCGGCTCCACGGGCACGGGCGTAGGCCGTTGCCAAGGGGGTTAACTGCTCGTACAGATCGTCCACCATGCAGAGCTTGGCTTGGGCGGGATTAAGGGGAACCCCCACAGCTGCTCCTGCTGGTGACACATGCTTAAAGCTAGTGGCCGCCGGAAGCTGCAAGGCCTGCTTCAGCTCCCGAACCAATTGCCAGCCGTTAAGCGCGTCGCATAGGTTGATGAATCCGGGCGAGGCGTTTAGCACCCGAAGCGGCAGCTTGGCCAATTGCGTGTACAGCTGGGCGGGTTTCTGGTGCGGATTCATGCCATAGCGCAGCGGTAGCTGGGACACACCAGATCCATACTGCTTCCTGAAGTAGTCCGAAATGGCGTCGTCATAGCTTGCCGTGTGGGTAAAGGCCTTGAGAGCCAGAGCCTGTCGGGTCTCCACAGTGGTATCTCCCGAAGCTTTCAGTTCGGTTAGCACTCGGTCATAATCAACCGCCTCGCAGACAACCGTAACGCGCTGGTGATTCTTAGCTGCCGCCCGGAGCAAAGTCACTCCACCGATATCAATGTTCTCCACAGCATCCTCCAGCGTCACATCAGTTTTGGCAACAGTGCTGGCGAAAGGATAGAGATTGCACACCACTAGCTGGACAAGATCGAAGCCCTGCTTGCGCATATCAGCCAAATCGCTGTCGGTGGTTCGTGACAGAATGCCAGCGTGCACGGCCGGATGCAGCGTTTTCACACGTCCACCCAGCATCTCCGGCGCTCCGGTAATTTCAGACACATCCCTAACCTTAAGGCCAGCGCCGCGCAGGACTGTAGCAGTGCCGCCACTGGCTACCAAGTCGAAGCCCAGGGCCACCAGACTCTTGCCCAAATCGAGCAGTCCCGTCTTGTCCGACACGCTGAGAAGAGCTAAGTAACGATAAGTCAGAGATTAATATTAAAATAGGGCTACATTTAGGCAAATAATAAACCTAGATGACTTACCAATCTTTTTGGAGCTCATAATTGATGTCTAGATCTTCTGGTTGGTACGTCCAATTCGCTGAGCGACTGAAATGCAAATGAAAGACGAGACGAGTGTCAGTGGGCGCTGTGGGTTGGATGCTCGGGGAGCAGTGCACAAACATGTTTTCGCGTTTTCGCTTTTTCTGGCTAGGCAACGACCTCCCCTGCGGTCTACGGTCCCCATTAGCGAGGTGTAGGGTTATCGGATACTCCTCGAATCGCTTGCATCAGCAGCCGATCCGTTGGTTGGGACTCAAAACAACAACAAGTGACTCAAATTTACGTAGGTTAATTTATTTTTTCAGAGTCTGGTTTACAACGCCTTATCAGTTTCAGTGCCTTGGCTGGGCGGGAGCTTAGCCTCCTCCTCACCCTGTTCCCCCTGGTCCTCCTTTTTCTCTTTCTTCATTTGGTCCCGCTTGCGCTGGCCATCATTTCTACGTTTGTGCTTGTTGGACTTGAGATGTAATCCCCATTGGTACTCTCCTACGAAGTGTCTCTCGCAAATGGCACAAAAGTGACTGGTTTCTTCATCTAGGTCTGCTCCGGGATGCTCCCTCTTGGCCATTGGCTCAATCTCACAGATTTCTCCGTTCCGGTAACACTCTATGATGGATTCGGCCCGCTGATACACGATCTGCGACCAAGCAGAGACATCACTGGTGTCCAACTCGTAGAGATCAGGCACTTGGCGATCTCGGCTAGCCAGAAAGCGATTGTTGATCCATTTTAGCTGCTTTTTCGAGTAGCGACGAGTGACCAGCTTCAGCTCATCGCAGCAGTTGCGCAGGAGCTGCAATCCCTCCGGCAGACCATCCTTCTCCTTTAGTTCTTCTGGGCTGGGAAGTTTATAGCTGTGCTCCCTCAGATACTCTTCAATCTTATCATCCTGCTGGTGGTTATATTTCATGAGGTACGGCACAAACTCCTTGTACCCAATGGTCTGCAGGACACCCGAGGTATAGGCTTGGACCGTAATTCCCTGGTGGGTGTTGTGAAAGAGCCGTAGCTCCTTAATTAGTCCCTGCTCCAGCATTCCGTCCACGCGAGAATCTAAACGGGCATTAAGAACCTCCTGATTGCAGCGGAGCCACAGAAGAACGGTGTGCGGGTAGCGCAGGGGTCCGCCCAAGCGATTACCGCCAGGCTGCCCTCGTTGCTCTGCCAGTTTGTCGGTCAACGTCTGTCCGGTGCCCTGATAGACTTCTATGGCTCGCAGGATCTTGCGCCGGTTGTTGGGATGAATTCGATTGGCACTGCCAGTGTCGATCTTCGCCAGGAGTTTGTGCAATTCCACTGTAGTCATAGCATCTAGCTCGCCATCCTTTAGCTCTGCCAGTGAAGTGCCCTGCGATTGCTTCTCTTGTGAATCCACGAGCACATCCCACAGCAGGGATTCTATGTAATAATTGGTCCCGCCCACCACAATGGGGGGCTTGGCCTGAGCTAACAAGCGCTCAATGATAGGCAGGGCAGCATTTCGAAAACGGGTGACCGTAAAGGGTTCCGCCGGAGTGGTCACGTCCAGCAGGTGGTGTCGCGCCCGTGTCTGCTCCTCCTTGGTGGCCTTAGCGGTGGCAATGTCAAGGTGGGTGTAAACCTGCATGGAATCCGCGCTGATTATTTCGCCGCCAAAGCGCTCAGCCAGCTCTAGGGAGAGCTTCGTTTTGCCAGTGCCCGTAGAGCCGAGGATCACAATCAACGGCACTTTACGCATCATCCTTGGGTTAATTGAAGTCAATTAAACTAATCTAAGGTAAACAACACTTGCACGTTTCTGAGCACGTGTATTCCTCGGGGACTCAAAACCACCTGTTGCCGCCTTCGATAGCTTTTGTTATAGTAACTATTACACGCACTGCCTCCGAACTGATTTATTCCTATTTAATTACTATCACTTAAATAGCTTACTTTTAAGCTATTTGCTTAACTAATTGTTTAAACTTACAAATTACGATATATTCGATTAAATAATTGTTGGTAAATTTCCTATACAAATAGCAGTGTTGCCAGACAACTGCCGTTGGAAACGAAAACATTCGATACTTTGACCGCTAAAATTGAAACCAATTTTCAGACCATATGACCAATATATATTATGTATTGATTTTTAATTTTATAAGAAATTTAAATTAAAAAAATATTATTACTATTATATATCATATTATAACATTGAGGAATAAAATTAAGGGCCCTCTAGATAAATTGTTAATAAGGAAATTCATGTGTTAGGTGCTATATTTATATTTAATATTTATTAAATTAACATTCATTAATTTATTAATACAACTGAAACATATTAATTTTGACATAAATGAAGGAATAAAAATCTTTTTAATATTACTCATACATAGTTGTAGTTGATATTTTCAAATGTTTAGGAAAGAATTAACCATGCAAGAGGAATTAAAATTTGTCTATTTGTATTGAGCTGAAGGTCAGCCTACGCGATGTATCGCTTAATGATTCTACAAAAATTTCGCACATCTCTATGCAGTAATGCGATCTCTGAAAACACCGCTTCAGTGTGACCGAAAGACGACGCTCGCTCAATCCCGCACGGGCACTTTATATCGTATATCATTCGTGCATTCTTTTGATTTACCTGCAGTTTCGTGGCCCGAATAATGAAAACAATTAGATCAATCATTTCGATTTCACATTGAGCAACTAAACAGGCCCCACATCAAGTCATCGTTGTGAACTTCAGGTGCTCGGCGATTGCCTGCCGCTCCGTCCGGACTTTCACTTTTACATTTCGCACAAAAAGAACAACAACAACACAAGTAGCAGCAGCGCAGCAACAGCAACAGCAACAAAAGACGAAGAGCAAAGAGCCGAGGCAGCATGAGTGTGGAAAATACCAGAGCGGACAGCAGGCCACAGAGTGCAGTGAGAATCGGTTAGACGCGAGGGACCCATTCGGAGCGGAATCCCAGCCAGAATCATCGCATCGCGCACGGCAAAGGCGAAGCAAAATAACAACAAACCAACAGCACTAGTGGGCCAGCGTGTGAGCGTGTGCGGTGCCTGCGTGTGTGTGTGCCTGCTCCAGCGAGAGTGTGTGCGTGAGTACGTTTCAGCTGTCCAAGAAGAGGCCGAAATTTTGTGTGTGTACGTGGTCCGTGGCCTCTGAATTGGGTCAGCGAAAATCCAATTATGGAGGGCAGGACACAAGTGAACCAACAGCAGCAGCAACAGAGGAGTCGCCTGCCCTCGTCGCCAAGTCCTCCGCTCACCGTGAACCTTAGTGGCGGCCCCAATGCGAATAGCAACAGCACCTTAATGGGCCTGGAGCAGGAACAGCCTCAGTCTCAAGTGGGCAGGAACAACAACAATGGTGGAGGAGGAGGCCACCATCGCAGTCACAGCATCACAAATGCGGCGGCCACGTCTTTTGTGAATCTCCTGGACGGCTTCACAGCCCGTGTTTCGACGGCGGTAAGTGTGGCTGGCGGAACGAGCTCCAACATGCTGATGGACCGCAGCATCCAGAGCGCCGGCAGCACGCCTGGCTCCACGCATTCAATCGCCAGCCTGACCAGCATGGGATCGCTGGGTACGACAGCCAATGCACTGTACTCCTCCATAGGCAGTGCCCTCAACTCGATCACCTCACCTATTACAGCAGCTGCCGCGGCAGCCACAGCCACAACTACAGAGGTGGTGGTAGCCGCCGCCTCGGTGATCACTAACCATCTAAGCTCACCCACGAGTGGCACTCCGCCACACGGCCTAGATGGCGACGAGGGCGACGATGATTGCGACGATTGCGAGGAGGACGAGGACGATGACGGCGTAGACAATGACGGACACATTGCGGCACCCACGCCTAACAAAAGTTGGGCGGAAAACAAGCAGGTGGTGCAGGAAATGCGCAAGAAGATGTGCAACCTATCGTCGATGGTGCCCACCAACGTGCAGTTCCGCCACCTGTCCGACGGCCGTGCACGGTGCTACTTCCTGGGCACTCCGCCCCAGAGTTGGGAGACAACGCTGCTCTTTGCGGACATCAATTTGCTGCAGACCGAGGAACAGCAGTTGGTGGTGCAGCGCCTGGAGGGCGAGTCTGGTGCTGGGAGCCCAACTCTAAGTGCAGGATCACCAACTAGCAGCAGCAGTCAGCATGGAGCTTTCCATTTCGGAACGCTGGTCAAGCCTCGGTAAGTGGAGACGTTCGATCATCTTGGCTCGGAACTAATAGCCTCATTTCCTATATCTCCAGCCTATCTTGGAGCCCATTGTTGCAGCAGCCTATTCAAAGCAGTGGTGGAAGCAGCGGCAGTGGCTCTGCCAGTCCCTATGCTCGCGAATTCCAGTTGCTGCAAGAGCGCAAGCGGCTGTCCACCTGGGGCATCACCTGCTACGAATTGCACAAGCCCTCGGGCAAGCTGGTCTTTGCCTGCTTCAACGACCTCTACCAGTGTCTGGACACTGGCTATAATGTGAGTATATGACCCTAAGGGATTCCCTCGTTCCATTAACATTGTATTCTGGTTTGCTAATGTGTTTTATTTTCGACCAACGACAGTCTGGACTGCTGTTTCCCACACAACTGCGCACCTGTCCACAATGGACAGCGCTTGATCCACAGATTTGCCCGCAGAACTCCGACATGATAGCCTACATCAGCGACTGTGACCTGTTTGTCACCCACACGTTGAGCGGGCACGAGAAGCGACTCACATACACGAGCAGCGGAAGGCACTCTTATCCAGACGACGCTCTAAGCGCCGGCGTGCCTTCGTATGTAATGCAAGAGGAGTTTAGCCGATATCAGGGCTTCTGGTGGCAACCGCACTCCGACGACGGCATCTATCGTATCGTGTATGAGGAGGTGGACGAAACTGAGGTCTCCCTTTACACGTTCCCCTCGTCGACGGCCGTTCATGGTAGAGTGGACGAGTACCGTTTTCCGCGCACCGGCAGTCCCAACGCCAAGTCTAAGCTCAAGCTAGTCCAGTTTGTTTTAAATGAGGCGCTGCAAATAAGCGAGATTGCCATAAAGGACCTTCCGTACTCACTCCTGGCAGTCTTCAACTGGCTGGAGTACATAGTGCGTGTCGGCTGGACACCGGATGCCAATTAGTGAGTATATAAGAGCATTTCTAAAGTTGATATGATATTTAAACCAATATAATACGATATTTCGCATTTTATATTAGGCTCGATTTAATTTTATGTGGATAATATTGGACTTTACTTTTCGTTATACAAACACTAATTAGTATACATGTATTTAATGCTTATTTCACTCTATTTCTAGTGTTTGGGTGCAGGGTTTGGACAGGAAGCAACAGCGGTTGGATGTAATCCTTATACCGCTGGATAACTTCTGCGAGTCGTACAGCAGCCAAGTGTCGACGCCAACAGACTCCATAGGCGATCATAGCTGGCGCAGTCTTTACAGCCGCACGATCACACCGCTGCAAGTGATCTACACGGAACACTCAGAGAGCTGGATAAATGTGCACGATATGCTTCACTTTTTGGAGCTGACTGATACAAGTGTCACCTTCCTTTGGGCCTCTGAGGAGACAGGTTTCCGACATCTCTATCTAGTCACCGCCAGCCTACTGCTAAACCATGCGAACGGCCAGTCAGAGGCGGGATCGGCCTCAGCTCAGCCCAGCTTCGTTGAGCAGTCGGCATTGCAGCCACGAATTCTCAACAAGGTTGCTCTTACCAGCGGCGAATGGGAGGTGCTGGCCAGAAGCCTCTGGGTGGACAAAGCCAACCAGCTAGTATACTTTGTTGGACTGCGCGACACCCCTTTAGAGAAGCACCTGTATGTGGTCAGTCTGCAACGGCCGGAGCACATTCGCCTGCTAACAGAGCCCGGATACTCTTATCTTGTAGAGTTCGATGATGTAGGTAAACTTAAAGTTCAACATCCACAAATTGTAATCTCTCCCTTTATGCTTCCAGCAATGCCAGCTAATGCTGCTGGTTTACTGCAACATTCAGAGGCTGCCTAGTTGCAAGGTGATGCGTGTGAACCAAACATGTCAAAACGGTGGGGTCAACGGCATCCAAATTTCATTGGTGGGCTATCTGCACGAAGGTGGTAAGCCGGAGCCGCAGTACTGCCCCAGATCTTTCGACCACAGCTACCGTCTGGCGATATCGTATACGCCATGGTCTTCAAGCCGCACAACTTCCAGCTGGGAGTCAAGTATCCTACGGTGCTCAATGTTTACGGAGGACCTGAGGTGCAGACCGTAAACAATACTTTTAAGGTGGGTTCAAGGAGCTGTGGTTGGACTTTGATTAGAAAGTAACATTTTTTTTTATTTCATTTTACAGGGCAAGCATCAACTGCGCATGCATATGCTGGCCGCTCAGGGCTACTGCGTTATCTGCATTGACTCTCGCGGATCACGCCATCGTGGCAAAAGATTCGAGAGCCACATTCGCGGACGGATGGGTCAAGTGGAACTGACCGATCAAGTGGACGCTCTGCGCATTTTGGCCGACCAGCTGGGCTACATTGACATGGATCGCGTGGCTATACATGGCTGGTCCTATGGTAGGTTTTGGTTTTATTTTTCATTTCATTTTGATTTTTTCTAGAAAAAAATAGTAGAACCGTGCTTAAAGCTTTTTAATAGATTATTTAGTTCTTAATTCCATTCTAATCTCCTTGCAAAATTCTTCGGTCTCTTTATAGTTGCTTTTATATTTATTTTGGCGTAAGACAGGTCAATAATTATGTAGAAAAGTGAATATTATATAAGTATAATATTGCACCACACAGCAAGCCATTTTAAATTATTTTCAAAATTTGAAGAGAACCATTAGTGCTGTTTTTATCCAGTACTGTACAGTTAATTGGGCGACAAACTCTAGTACTCAGTCCCAAAAAACCAGCATTGTAGTCGAATTCATTGATGTTCAGTTTCAAAGGTTGACTTGATTTGTACAATGATAAATAATGCAAGTGTATTTAATGTTTTTAATTTATTCAATCAGGTGGCTACCTAAGTCTAATGGGCTTAGTTCAGTATCCAAAGATCTTCAAGGTGGCCATTGCCGGGGCGCCCGTCACCAACTGGGAGTATTACGACACGGGCTACACGGAGCGCTACATGGATCTGCCCCAGCACAATGAGGCCGGCTACTCGGCCGGTTCGGTGCTCAAATATATCAACTCATTTCCCGAAGAGTAAGTTAACTCGTACCCTAATATAGATTTCCTATTATTTAATTTCACGAACAATTTCTTGCAGGGACAACCGTCTGCTGCTCATCCACGGCCTGATCGACGAGAACGTGCATTTCTACCACACTTCCCGTCTGATCAGCGCCCTGAACAAGGCCAACAAGCCGTACGATCTGCATGTGTTCCCCGAGGAGCGACACTCGCTGCGTAATCTGGAATCGAATAAAAATTACGAAACGAAGCTTCTGTCCTTCTTGCAAAACTTATGAGATTCGTAAATGTAAACAGGAGAATGCATGCTGGGGCAACATTGCCCCGCCCGACTCTTTGAAATAGTTTTCAATACATCATTGTCTTTGTTTTTATTTTCCATTTTGTTGTTCGCGAACTTGTTTTTATTAGATAAAGAGAGAGAGAGAGAGAGAAAGAGAGCAAAATAAGTTATTATATTTTTAGCATACTTAATTAATAGAAATATGTATACAGTTGTAAGTGTAGAAGAATAACGAATGTTTGTGGACGACGACGATTTTCCATCTCCCCCTGCCCCCTGTAGACTCTTCAGACCAATCCGCTTACTGTAATTAATTTATACATTTTAAATTGTTTCCAACGCATACTGCTATTCATCATGTAATATTATATTTTCTTGTAAATTTCTCCTATCCTTAATTATAAGTTGTCTTAAGTGCATGTATGCGTCTGAACGGTTGTGTGAGACTGACTGCGTGAGCGTTTCCCTTAAACCTTAAACTTGTCATGCCCATGGAGCAAGCCATAATTTTGCAGTTAGCTCTACGCATACCTATATAAATACATATATCTCTTCGATCAACCATTAGCAAGACATGTGTGACTACTTGAATATGTTTGTTTAGGAAGCAACAAGAAACATTGAATAAATTTAATATTAAATATGCCTATTATAATCATTAGTTCTAAAAAAAAACTGATACACGCAAGCGTATATATATATTTTGTTTAACAATTAAATAAACAGTTGTGTGTAAACAAGGTGTGTTTTACTTACATTTTTTTTTTAAATTTGTATATATCTTCGCATTGATGCAACTTATGAAGTGGTATCTTCAGCTTTTATTGAGGACAATAAACTTGCAGATCTGTTTCCGCTCTCAGAGAGACAATCTCCAAAGCAGAGTCGTTATTGTGCTACAGCTCCTTTTACCTTTAATACAACTGCGAAAAAATGATAGCAATGCCAGTATACGAAGTTATTAAATAGTTTTCGTGATTTTTCCTTTAGGGGAACTTTCAATACGTTTTGAAATATGGAAGAACCGGAAATTAAACCAGTCTTAAATTAAATCATCTATCAGATAAAAGTGCCATTAGAGAGCCACCATCGACGAGTACGATACCGACGAGGAAAATTGAGATTGCCAAAGAAACCCCATTGCCACCTAAAAACATAATGCCTGGTTTTTAATGAACAAATTTCTTCAAATTCAAAATAACGGTTAAAAAAATTAAAAATGCAATCAATTAATTAAAAAATTAAATATGAAAATTCCACTGACAAGAAAGTATTCACTTTGGAACATGACTAGACATTGTCATAACACTATTTCACACTATTTCACTATAACACAGTTTCTGGGAGAATTTGGATTTTTCATCGGATTAGTCAAATGATAATTGTGAACAAGTATTGTTTTCTTTAGGAAGAGGTAACATATCATGGGTTCGCCATTACGCCTTTTTAAAATTAATCTGTTCCTACCGGTTAGAAAAGCGTCCAACCCGAGCAATGTTTTTTAATTTTTTCATTTCCGTCCATCTTGGCGTCGTCATATATAAAATAAATTTATTTCGCTTAGATTATCACAGCTGTAAAGTTTGTTAATCTGGTAACGATTTAATTTTTTTTCAACATTTGGCTTATCTCAGAAATCGAGAAAGCAAAAAAATTAATGAGTTCCTCCTCTTTTTATACCCTTGCAGGGTATTATAATTTCAGTCAGAAGTTTGCAACGCAGTGAAGGAGGCACCTCCGACTTGATCAGGATCAACAGCCGAGTCGATCTAGCCATGTCCGTCTGTCCGTCTGTCCGTTTCTACGCAAACTAGTCTCTCAGTTTTAAATCTACATATCTGAATGAAACTTTGTAGTTAGCCTTCTATATACTCTCACTCGTATATATGTCGGAACGGGCCGGATCGGACGACTATATCATATAGCTGCCATAGGAATGATCGGAAAATTTTTACAAAAAAATTGTTAACTTTTTCAGTTTTCAATAGAATTGGATCAAATTTGAGATATAGGCATTTTACTATACTCTACAATTTTGCATAAAATTTTATGAAAATCGGACTAATATATCATATAGCTCCAATAGGAACGATCGAGAAATGAATTCAATTAAATTTATAACCTTTTCAGTTTTCAACTGATTTTCATCAAATTTTAGGTATAGGCATTTTATATTAGTCTTAAATTTTGTGTCAAATTTCATGAAAATCGGACTATTATATCATATAGGTGCCATACAAACGATCGTTTGATGTAGAGGAAAAATGCAAATCTTTGAATGTAAAACTGCAAATATAATATGTATAGGTGAATGAAATGAAAGCAGGTATTACTTCATTGTTTTTTAACACAAATATATATCATTTATATTGTATGGTTTTTTATTCATAGAAGTTCTATATGCAAGGGTATATAAACTTCGGCGTGCCGAAGTTAGCTTCCTTTCTTGTTATATTTGATAAAATAAAATATCTTAAAATATTCTCTTCCGCGCTCTTCCTGTCATTCCGATTACGGTCACATTTTCTATATTTTTTCTGCCACAGCACGGTCTCTTTCAGTTTTGCCAGTGTTGACCCCTCGAATAAGCTAGATTCTGACATAAAATAAGCTAAAATTGAACAGAAAATAGTTACGTCTAATTGAAAGAATGATTTTAAAGTTTTTATTTCAATAAATTTGGTTATGAATAAGTCTTACTCTGAGTATTGCATTCAAATTACTTGTACAATTTGCACAATTTTATTCTTCATTGCAAATCAGTTTTACTTACTAATTGCTTATTTAAAGCGTCCATATATTATTTTACACCTTTGATTTGACCTTTTACATATGTTAATTTAACAAGATGATTTAATCGATTTCGGATCTTAAATAATAAATATTTGACATTGGCGATACCATAAAATATCAAATCAAAAATGGCAAAGAAAATGTCTTAATTGTTTTTATAATATCTGAAAATCTCCAAACCTCCATTTTTCTTGTACATTAAATAGTGAAGTCACGTAAACAATTATTGCTAAAAAAAGGCTAGATGAATTTAAAATAAGCTAGGCTTGGTTGGAAATCTAGCCTGATATGCGCTAAAGTGGCAACTCTGATCAGTATGCATCTGGCGCTGTTTTTCGATTTCTGAGCGTCTTTATCTGCCAATCGTCGTTATGATTAGATCGGCCAAGCGCTATAACTCCAGCTGAAAACCGAGAACTTTGTGTTGTGAGTTTGTGTGAGAAGACGCCCGAGCAGCAGCATTTGCAGCCCGAAAACAAGAACAGTAGCCCACACAGACCGCTGCATAAGCTAGTGCAAAGGAGACAGTGACGCCGCGAAACAAAGCATAAAGCGGCCGGAGGACTAGAGCCACACACAAACAACAACAGCAACAGCATTTCAAAATGGCGCCGACAAAGGCAACGCGCGGGGTCATGGCTGTCGGGCAGCCCACCGCCGCCAATCCTCTTCTGGGCCTGGGGGCCGCCACCAGACGGGGCCGAAGGGGCACTGCCGCCAACATAGATCCCAATGCCGAGAACATGCAGACGCGCGCCAAGCGCAAGGCCGACCACAGCCCCATCAAGAACGATAAAATCAAACGCTCAGCGCTGGGCAACCTCACCAACAATGTTAAAGTCATGTCTCTGCATCCCAGTAATGATGAGGAGCCCTCTGGCTCCGTCGCTAAAAAGCCGACGGCCCAGCAGCTGCAGGCGATGATGGATGCCAAGAACCAGGAAAAGAATCTGATCTTAAACGTCTTCTCCGATGCCGCGTCCACCAAGGTGGTGACGCGCGCCTCCAGCAAATCGGACGATGCGGTGGAAAACTGCCACAAGGTGCTAGATAAGATCGAGGAGGCAATGACCAGGCACAAGCCGCGCCCCAAGGCCGGGCCCGCCGTCAAGAAGCCTGCTGTGGAGGAAATGCCGATGCCATCCGCGCCCCAGCCTATTCCTGTGCTGCTGCCGCCCAAACAGAACCTGGCTGCTCCACCGCCAGGCGCCATAAAGCCGGTGCGGCGCATATCTAACGATTTCAACAAGACTGAGGACAGCCTATACATGTCCGCCCTGGAGGATGTGTCCAGCTGCGATTCCATGCGCCTGTCGGGCAACTTCGAGGCGGCGCGTCGTCGCTCCGCTAAGTTACAGCAAAAGACTGAGCAGCAGCCGCAGCCGCAGTTGTTGCCACTGCCAGAGAGTTCACCTAGCCAAAAGGCTAGGCCCATTCAGCCGGTGCCCGTTCAGCCGGTGCCCCCGGGTGTGGAGGATTTCGACCGCAAAAACTGGGACGATCCCTTTCAGGTGTCTCACTACGCCATGGACATTTTCAACTATTTGAAGTCGCGTGAGCCACAGTTCCCCATAGCCGACTACATGCCCCGTCAGATCAACCTGACCACCTGGATGCGCACACTTTTGGTCGACTGGATGGTGGAGGTACAGGAAACGTTTGAGCTAAACCACGAGACTCTATATCTGGCGGTCAAGATCGTCGACCTGTATCTGTGCCGTGAGGTGATCAACAAGGAGAAGTTGCAGCTTCTGGGCGCCGCCGCCTTATTCATTGCCTGCAAATACGACGAGCGTTCGCCGCCGCTAATCGAGGACTTTTTATACATCTGCGACGGGGCCTACAAACACGCCGAGCTGGTGCGTATGGAGCGGGAGACGCTGCGCATGATCAAATACGACCTGGGTATCCCGCTCTCGTACCGCTTCCTGCGCCGCTACGCCCGCTGCGCCAAGGTACCGATGCCCACGTTGACGTTGGCGCGCTACATCCTTGAGTTGTCGTTGATGGACTACGCCACCATTTCATTCAGCGACTCGCAGATGGCTTCAGCCGCCCTCTTTATGGCTCTGCGCATGCACGGCGGAGCCGGGCAGCTAGACCAGCAGACCTGGACCCCAACGCTTATACACTATACCGGCTACCAGCTGGCAGAATTTGCCGAAATAGTTCCTGTGCTTAACGCCGGATTACATCGCAAGCCACGGACCACAATTAAGACGATACGGAACAAGTACTCGCATAAGATATTCCACGAGGTGGCCAAGGTACCGCTGCTGACCAACGACGAGCTGTTCCAGAGCAACCTTGACATGAACGAAAGCAATCTGTCGTAGGGCAGCCCTCAAGTTTAGCCAAATTGAAATTTAAATCGAACTGCAAAACGTTACGCTTCAGTTAGGCTCTAAGACGCTTCAGACCCCTCCCAACACCTGACCCTTCACTACTCTCCCCACCATGATAAAGACGAAACTGCGGATGCGACCGCCTCAATCAAAACCCTGACTCTATCTTAACCTCCCTCCCCCTACCTAGGTTCCCACAATTTATTTTATCTTACGTTTGTGACCTTTGCATACTTCTGCATAAATATTGTGTTAAGAGAGTCCCATTTGTTTATTTAACCATGTATTATTGTTTAGTTTTTCACGTATACATACATACCGCGGCATCATAAAGCTAAGCAGGAGCGCTCCCAACACATTCTCGCCCACTCCCACCATCTAATCATCTAGCGATCGGGCTATTCATGTTTTAATATGTACGCTAGTTTTAAGAGCTGCCAGCATTAAATAAACCTAACACTTAAGCACCAAAGCCGACATGGAAACGCCAAGTAACTCATTATACATACACCAAACACACACACACATATATATATTTATATGTAGATGCAAGGATGCCTACCAGCGCGACTAGCAAAGGCACGTGTGTCCTGTACAACCTGGAAATGCGCCACGATCAACCCTCGTCCTATGTGTAGAGTACGTAGTCGTTGTTCATTAATACTGTTGTTTGTTAAGCTACTCATGGACTTTATTCCCTCGCCATACCGCCCCCGTCCCCCGGAGGAAGCAACATCCCCCTTCCCTGACCGACACTCCTGAACTCATTTCACCTCATCTAGCCATGAATATGTTGAAAACGTTGCATTGTTCCAGTAACTAGTTATATGTATATGTATGTACACCATGTTATGTATGTATCGTTTTTGCCAAGAGAATAAACCAATAAACATTTTTATACCTCCGTTCAAAAAGTAACTCAGATTTTTTATGTAATTATATGTATTTTCTTCTGTGACACATTGTCAGATAAATCCCTGTGTGTATCGTTCTTCCTGTAAAATTTAGTTATATACAAAAAGTATTTACACAACGACCTATTTTCACGTCAAACTTCTTTTATTTGTAATTATTGTTGTTGAACAATTTCCCAGAATTTTCTTTATCGCGTAGATTGCTATATGCAGAAGCAAGCCGAAAAGGAAACTAAAAGATAGCGTTTCATAGGACAATGCTAGAAGTAAAAGGACAGATGCATGTCTAGTGTCATATTTACACAAATTGTTTTAGTCTTAAATTTAATTCTACTCAATTTGTATATTGTTTTTAGGGAAAACCTGGTAAATTACTTTATTAATAATTAGAAAAATGATCTTTTGCATCGATGAAGGCTTTCAGTTTGCTAGAATTGAGTTTATTAAACTACATATGTATATCCTGTATATATAAATAAAAACATATTTTCTTTTGCTTTAAGCATTGTCTTATGAACCGTATGGTTATTGGTCAACAACAACAAGAATAAAACTACAAGAAGTTGGGATGTGTAAATAATTGTGAAATTGTATATAAATTTCTTTTCGCTAAAGGAAACCCTCAAAAAAGTGAATTCTCAGGAATCCCCACTGCAAGGCTTTTTATAAACCTATATCAATACAAATCCTTAGGCAATATTAATATTTATCATTGCAGTAACTTTCGGAATACGTTTAATTTGGAAATGTGTACTGGAATCTTTCTTTTGTACAATACTTTAGGAATTCTTGAGCATTTCCCTTTAGTACTTTAAACTATTAAGGGTCAAAGGTTGCCCGGAGGTCTCTTTGAAACCCAGCCTGTTCTTGGAGTCCTTTTAATTACACATCGATGTGGGGTGATTGTTTACCTCCTTTGTTCCTTCGGCTCCGTTCAGCTGAGTCCCTGCACTTTTTACGCTCGTCTATGAACAGCTGAGAGCTGAGAGTTGAGAGCTGAGATGATAACCTAAGGACATCAAACCCTGTCTGGAAATGGTCCCATCGATCCGCTACAGGTAAAATCTCCCAATGTCGTCCGCCCAAATCATTCATAATCTGTGAGTGTGAGTGCGCTTGCTGTGTGTATGTGAACTCTCTGGTCGGGTTTGCTGTGGTTCTCCTTGCTTTTGGCGCGCCCGTCTGTCATTTTAGCGCCAAAAATTTGTTAAGGATTTGCGCGGCAGGCTGCGCATGCGCCGCAAGACATCAAGACATCGTCCCCGGATCAGTTCCCTTTCCCGTTCGGCTGCACACACGGAAACAACCGATTTCAGTCGCTGCAGTTGCGCCTGAAAAGGCACCACCGCCTTGGGTCTTTGAATCTTGCGCTGATTTCCTACCACCTTTGGTTCCTCTAACTCTGTCCGTCCTCCGTCCACAGTCCTGTCATTGTGTGCTCCTTTTTTTCGTTTTTCGGCTGCCTGCCTGCCAGGTAGCTCCCTTCCTCTGCAATTGTATTCTCAACGGAGAGTAAAAGAGAGGACAAGACGCCGGGTATGCGTAAGGTTATCTGTCTGTATATGAGAGCTAAATGCATGTGGCTTTTTTTCAATATGAGCGATTCCATGGTTGTCCGTCCTCAAGGTGCAACTGGTAACTGGCCAGCATTGCTAATTGCCTCGGTTGGGTGTGTGCAGGAATCAAGTTTATTTCTGAAGGACTCGCAGTGACAGATATATATGTACATATATGCAGAAACAGCTGCCCTTGGGCAAAGGGGCGTCCGCCAACTTATGACTACGTCTCGGGTTTCTGCACACCCCAAAAAACCCATCACCCATCAGCACCCACTTGTTGTAATCCATTCCAACCTCAGTAGGCCGGCGAATTAAAGGCACCGTTATAGCCGCCTCCATAGCCACTGCCGTAGCCGAAGGCATTGTGGTTGTTCAGCGTTCCGAAGGCTCCTTTGTGGACTCCATCCTCCTTGTATTCGGTGTTCATAGTGAAGTGGTGGTCCCAATGGTTGGGTCCCGCTGGATTGTGGTCGGGATAGCGGTAATGGTTCTGAGTGCTTGTTCCCGGGCCATGAACGCCAGCGATTCCTGGATAGCCAGCGACTCCTGGAACTCCAGCGACCCCCGGGACTCCTGCAATTCCTGGAACTCCAGCGACGCCCGGAACTCCAGCGACTCCTGCAACTCCCGGAACTCCAGCGACTCCAGGGTGAACAGCTGCACCAGGAGTTACCCCGTATGCTGGAAACTGAGCTTGCTGGGGATAGCCTGGGTACATTGGCAAGTATGTGCTTCCATAAGGATAGTATCCTGGAACTTGTGAATGTACTACTGGCTGCTGAGCTTGCCCTCCACTAGGATAATGAAACGGTGGTAAGCCTCCTGTACCGGGAAAAACCAAAAAACAGTTGAGAGCCTACATTTCTAAAGGAAGAGTCACCTGCAGTTGGGTATCCTGGCGCGGAGCCACCTCCAGCGGGATAAGGAACCGGAGCTTGCTGAGCAGGAAATCCTGGGGGCGGATATGCCGGTACCTGTTGTCCTCCCGAAATGGACGGGTTCGGTGATGAACTGCCAGGAAAAACAACGGTATTCGTACTGCCCAGCCTCACCCCCAGGCCACCCTGCTCGTGTCCATGCGCAGCATCAATGTCTCCACCACTGGCGGCACCACTGGCACCCGTGTAACCCCCTCCCAGCTGAGCCAATGCGGGATACGATTGGGAATTGAGGTTGGCCCGCTGACGATGGCGACTGCTGCTGATGCCGCCCGTTAGAGTGGAGGCCAGGTTGAACTCTGTTTTCTGATCCTCCTGGCTCTCGTCTCGGCTGAATTGGGAAGTGGCCTGAGTGGAGGCGATCAAGATGACGCCCAGAGCGGCGAAGGCAATTCCCCTCCTGCTGGCCATGTTGTCGTAAGCAAACTAAACCTTTCAAGCTCTCGACGCAAGTATTTAATGCTGAGCTGAGCTGTGTTGATGAGAGCTTAGCCGAGTGTCTATTTTTAGGGTTATCAACGGTGGCTCAGCGGTCAGATAAGTGAATTCATTGAGTGTAATTTTGTGTGTTCTACACTGCTATAAAATTTGGCTAAAGCTTATAGATCAATCAATGAATTAAAATATATCACTATTTTGTATGATTGAATTTGTTTTTAATAGTGAAATTGCCGCAGATATCTTAAAATTGTGTTAATTAAGCAGAACAACAAAAAAAACAATATTTTTGCTAAAAAATGATGTGTTTTTCTGAGTGTTGTATTAAAAATTTTGGCCTTTAATTAAGTGAGAATTGTGTGGCCAGGAACATTTTTGGGAATTCCCAAGTCCCCAAGTCCATCTAAGCATAGTTTATAACAATTATGAGTCTGTATGTAATATATAGTATATGAATGTACATATATGTATATAAAACGAATGCTTTCTCGGACAACCTTGTTTACTGATTAGTTAGACGGATCAGTGTTATAAACAACGCCTTATTTACTAAATATGTACAACATGAGTTTAAGTAGTCAAGGTTCTTCTACTCGATTCCATTCATCTCCCTTATCGCCAGGTCCAGTCTAGCTATAAAAACTCGTGTGAAGCTCCGATTAAGTAACAAAATTAAATTGAACACTTAAAGATGCAGTTGCATGCTGTGATACTAGTGCTAGTCCTGGCCGAAGTGGCCCACTGTCGACCCACTTTAGATAAGATAGCAGAAGTCCTGCTAAACGCCTTTGATGATCCACAGCCGCACTACCATCAGCCAGGAAGGCCTTTGCCAGGAGAACGTTACCCGTATCCACACCCCGGCCCAGGACCACTGATCCAAGAGGGCTACGAGCACGGCTACGACTACCACTATGGCGGAGGCTATGGCTATCAGGGCTACCAGCAGGAACCACACCCAGGCTACCCAGGAGGATACTATCCACAGCGTCAGCCAGCGCATCACCCGACGTCTTACTATCCGCCGCCGCAATCATCGCGTCCTGGTTACTATGCACATCGACCTGCTCTGCCCACTCCCGCATCCGGCGGGTACTACCAGGATCAATACGGCGGCGGCTACAAGCAGCGAGGTTACTAGAGTTCACAGCTGACCCACAATCCCCGCCCATCCAATATTCTGCTATGTCATCTGTTTGTTTTTTCTGTTATTTATTAAAAAATTCGTGAGTTTTGTCAAGCATCGGATTTTGCCTCCAGAACCTGTTTACCAGACACAAAGACGATCTCAAGCGGTCTATGAATATTCAACAAGCGCGGTTTGGGGAAGTCCCCACCCAAGACTCATCTCCGTCTCACATCGATGGGTTCGGAGGGTACATCTTGGTTGGGCAGATGGACGTACTTGCTGGAACTGGGGAATATGACGGGTCTCTCCTCTGACGCCTCTATCGAGTGATATGGGAGGGGCACCGGTGTGGGCAGCGGAAGTGGCAGTGGCACTGGAGTAGGATTGACCTGGTTCGGGGGTGGCACCAGCGGCGGTCGATTGGTGCCTATTATCAGAGTGTCTTTGGTGGGCTGTGTGGGTGGACGTGGCTGGAAGGTGGGATTCGTTACCACCGCCTTGGGAGTGGTTGGTGTTGGTGGGGAGGTGGGAAAAGTTGGTGTTTCGGGAGTCGTTGTTTGAGCCCCGTTATCCTGATTGTTCCAATCGTAGTCCTGGTTGTCCCAGCCGTTCCATCCTGGCGGTGGTCCCATTCCTCCGCCCCAATCGGGCCTCGGTGGAGGTGGTCGCATTCCACCTCCATTCCAGCCGGGTCTCGGTGGAGGGCCGCCTCCGCCTACACCTCCATTCCATCCGGGACCCATTCCACCGCCTCCATTCCAACCGGGACCCATTCCACCGCCTCCATTCCAACCGGGACCCATACCACCGCCTCCATTCCATCCAGGACGCGAAGGAGCCCCGCCTCCGTTCCAACCTGGCTGTTGGTTCCAGCCGAAGCCCGGCTGATTGCCAGCAGCTCCCCACTGCCAACCTGGAGGCCAGCCAGGAGGAGCTTGCTGTCGGTTGGGCGGTCCACCCCGTCTATTGGGTCCCATTCCGGGTCCTATTCCTGGTCCCATTCCTGCTCCCATTCCTGGTCCGATTCCTGGTCCCCTTCCTGGTCCCCTTCCTGGTCCCATTCCGGGTCCTATTCCTGGTCCCATTCCTGGTCCCATTCCGGGTCTTCCCTGCTGCAGCCTCTGCATCTGCTGCTGCTGCTGTGGTCCAAAGTGATTGTTGTGCAACCCATTAATGAGACCATTGATTACTCCTAACCTGGGAAGCTGGGCCACCACGGTGACACCACCAGCGGAAGCCACGGCTCCGGCAGAGGCAGACGAAAAGGCGAACTGAGCGCGGCACGTGGGGATCGAGACCGATATGGTTGCGAAAAGCCAGACGAGAAAAGCTCGGGCAACAATCGAAGCTGGTGAAGATCGCGTCATGATCGAGCAATCGCCAGGAGAGTCGGATTCTAACTGAGGGGGCTGAATGATGCGATAATCGGTGATGCTTGACTAGACCCCCAAAAACCTGTCCGCCGATCAACGGGTGAGTATGGATGAGATTAAGATGGGCAGTGAGAGCTTATTCGCTCTCCAGCGTTAATCAACGCTTTCATCTTCAAACGAAAGGTAAACAAAGGCCAATTTCAACTTGAATACCCAGAAAAACTAATTATATAAGTAGAATGAATAATAAATCTATGAAATATTCAATAAATTATGATTGAGCTTCCGTTTTTTTCTCACATTAATAATTTTGAGTTATGGGAACAACAAATTAATTCAAGTACAGGCTACTAAAAATCTTTAATATAAAAACATTATATAAATAAAATTTTTGTAGGAGAGAAGACTACAAATTCAGTCTCCAAAGATTTACTTATTTATGAATCATGTAAAAATGCGATAGAATTTTAAATATATTTTTCTTACTTTTAGAATTTTAAAATATGCTCACTTCTTCCAAGTACTTTATTCAACTCTTTATCCGGTTTGAGCTTAATTTAAATATAAAATTCTGCGTTGGGTTTTCTGTTTGTTTGGAAAAAACTGAATCTCAGCTGAGTGGAAGTTTATGATCTTGTTATGGATAGGGTTGTGGGGATGTCCGCTGTATGTATATTGTCTACTGGCCAACGACGATGGCTCGGTCAGTCTTCCAGTGCGTGGCGCGTGCTCCGCATGCTGATCATTCCAATCCGTTTGGTATAATAAATCCAGCATAATGCATTAAGTCGCCGCGACGCTTGCCCGTTGTCCAAGCTAATCTTCCCGAGATCCCGGCTCTTTTTATGGGAATAAGAAACGTAAAAAAAGAAACAATTGATATGAGCTAGACCACAATGTGTCACCGTCGCTGCTCCAACTCCATCCCGATTCCATTCCCCAGGGTATAAATAGGGGAGACTGCGTAGATGGACTGTCAGAACTGGAAGTTTTTCGAAATAGAAGCAGCATGAGAACCCGGGCCTATCTTCTTGCGATCCTCGCTCTTCTGACTGCCTGCTGTCTGGATTGGACCAACGCGTTATTTTTCAAATCCTGGAAGACCGGCAGGGGATATGGTGGAGTACAAAACTATGGGTACAATGGTTATGGGAATTACGGCTACAGCAACTATGCAGCCGGCTATGGCTATCCATCTTATCCAGGCTACTCCTCCTACTCGTATCCATCATCCCCAGCGTACTCTTCCTACTCGTACCCGTCTTATCCAGGCTACTCCTCGCAGTACAACCCATACAGAGGACGAAGGACATCCGGTCAGCGACAAGGACGCACCTACTCGGAAATACAAAGAGTGATTAAGCCCGATGGCTACGTGGGACTCGGTGCAAGTCGATTCCTTCCAGCTAGAAGTCGATTCTCCCCTCTTTGGGGCTAGCTTATACCGCAGTTATGTCCGTGTTGTCAGTAGTATTAGCCATTAAGAAATAAAGTCAGTGAAAGTTACTTCCAATCATAAGTTGTTTAATTATCTCAAAACAATGTCAATGTATATTAAATCACTTTTAAGCAAGAGATTTATGATCACTGATGCGTACTTACGAATCTGTAGCTTCGTGGGACGTGATGTGATTGCGAATGAAGTGATGTCGCGCCTCCATTTGTCCGCTTGTTGGCATCTCTCGGTTATTGGGATACTGGAGTAGAGCTTCTCATACGGACATTCAACCGAGGGATTCCTTCAGGGTATTTCACAGAATGTTCTTCATTTACGGTAGAGTTAAGTTGTGAAGTCTTATTTCATATTTCAACGAAAATATTTGCATAAAACATTATAGTTTTAGAAATCAAAAAAGGTTTTTGAGAGACTTTTATACTCTACGAAATTTTACATAATATATTTAATATTTGCTTAAAAGAATTTGTTTAATAATGCAAAATACATACTTGTTTTTCTCATAATGTTTATAGCAACATATGTCCGTTTGGGGGGTATACTTGGTTGTTGCGCAACATGTTGCATTCAAAATGTTCCTTAATTGGTAAACATTTCCTTCTGCATTTACCGTGTTTCATTTAAGTTTTCATAAATCTAAGGTTAGTTAGACAAAGTGCATAAGGCAAGTCTATGTTCTTTTTAAGTTCACCCAATATTGTTGGAATACCAGCATCTCACAGTCAACTGTAGTTTACCTATTTGTTTCTTCTCATACAATATGCAAGAATTATTTATTTGTTATTTGTTAGAATAATAATTACTTCTCTTAACTGAAACGTTAATTTGGGGTTTACAACTGCCTGGGAATATGCTCAAAGGTGTGTAATCCTGGTTTGAGTTTAATTAAACGTGTTGAATCATTTTAATGCAATTTCTAAAGAACTTAACTTATTCATCAAACAATTTCCGGGCGAATTATTTATGTATTTCACAATTTCCCAAAGAGTTTTATTCATAAATTTTCAAAAACAATTTATAGAAATTTGTAATGAATCATGACATTATTTAACTAGAATTGATGGTAAATTAAATTTATATATTGACGAAACTAATTTTTGCCTAGAACTGGATTTTTCAATGTAAAAAAACAGTTACTATAGTAATTTTCGGTTAATGATCTGATAATAAGGTCGTGCATTATCTGACTGGACTCATGGCGTGCCAGTGTGTGGTATATATAGCCTTTTTACGAGCACTTACGCTTGACTCCGATTAAGATGCAGTCGCTGCTCACCTAGGACTTCCCCGATTATCATTGAGGAAGTGAAACCAGAAAACCAGATCCAAATCCCCAGCCACCTTACAGGAAGGAAGCCATCGGCTCAAGTCAGTGACAAGTGTATGTTTGCGCCCAACATGGCAATTGTTTATTGTTTATGCAAGAATTTGCTAATACAGCGCCTCAGATGGCGCACCTACGTCATTACCTAATGTCGCTGGAGTCGCTAATTAGAATTTAAATACGTACGACACCGAGTCTAGCCGTGCTAGTAGAGCCAAATCATTCACCACGCAATTAGAGTCAAGATCAGGTGCGATACATACGCTGACTCACGACGGCATAACGGGCTTCTGCTGCTGCTGCTGCTGATGCGGTGTGAATGACTTGGCGCGGGCAGCGTGTCAGTAAATATCGAGAAAACAAAGTGATCATAAAAAGCCATATCATACAAAGAGACTGCGCGAGATCTACGTGAGCGGCAACGCAATTCTCCGGCTATTCGGTGGATTTTTGCTGCGGTGCCAAAACCTGATTGATAAGCCAGCCAGCCGCCAGCCTCTGAGAACGGCAAGAACCGATCAGCCGCCAGCGATATTCATATAAATAGGCCGGTCGTCGGGTGTATTGCAGTTCAGTACACTTGAATCACTCTTCTTCACGAGCCATGTCAGTCCAACGAATCCTGATCAACCTTATGGTTGCCCTGCTCCTGCTCCTGGCCGCCGTTTCAGGCTCACCGGCCCGTGGATATTACCAATCACCGCCGCGGGGCGGACGCAGCTACACGGACATTGCCCGAGTGGTGAATCCCAATCAATACGCCTTCGTTGGATCCCGAAACTATCCGGGTCAGCCCTTCTGGCCGGGGGGAAAACGTTGACTCCCGAGCAGAGGCTATTAATTTGGTTAAAATATATTCTTAGATCGATTCAGGTTTAGCTAAGAAATGAACTGATTTATATTTACACTGCAAAATACTCATCTAAAGTTAGCCCAGTTTTGTAACCTAAATAGTGAGACATTAAGAACAGTTATTGTTACTGAATAAATGTTAAGTTATGACTAAAAAACTATTTTTTACTTTACATTTCTTTGTTCGTTACTTCCTCTTAACTTGGAAAAAATTGTTCAAAGTTGTTTGCCATCCGAATATAATTAAATCAATGAAATCGAACTGCTTGGAACTTAACTTAACTTTGTTAATTAAGACGGCATTAATGGATTTCGAGCATTAGTTAGTTACACCCACTTATAAAAGTTTTCTTTATAAAAGAAGGGTTGAAGAGCCACAGACGGCACAAATCAACAGCAATCAACCTTCGTAAGATGGATAAAAAAGAATCCTCATCCAATGCCATTTGGTGGATCAAAAATCCAAAGGCAGTGAAAGACAAGAAATCCAAAGAGCTGCGTAAGTCATCTTTGGGATCTGCCTTTTGCCTTGATATGGCAGATCTGCTGCGGAATATATCGCTGCAAGGATACAACAAGCTTTTGTCACCGGACCTAACTCTGGGTCAAAGGTAATGCGGATTGATCTTCCACTTACTTCTCACTTCTTTCGTTGGTATTTAAACAGAATGATTTGGCTGTTGCTCCACGTGGCCACAACCATTTCTCTGGTGGTAGTGCTCTCGCTCACGTGGGAGCAGTTCGTGGCCCAGTCCTTCGTGACCAACTTAAAGGATCCCCTCTATCCTGTCGAGAATGTTCCGTTTCCCGCGGTTTCCATATGCACCAACAATAGAATATCGCGACAGGCCATCATTCGGTATGCCGAGGAACTGTAAGCTATGCATTCCTTAATAAATAAAGCTAGTAAAAATTTAAATGAAAACAAATCAGGCGTCTGAGCAGTCCTGTGAGCCGTCCCGTAGAATATTACTTGGAGCGCCTAAGATTCTTCCGGGAGTTTTATGTTCATGTAGGTGTGGTGGTGGACACCGATGACTTTGTTACCTTCCAGACCTTTCTCGATGTCTTTGGTACCTGGAACAATGAGACCTTCTTTGACACGCGACGCATCATGAAACAGGTGAGCCAATGGTCGAGCTTTCAATCCGACAAAATAAGTCTCCGTATGCATCCTAGCTGACCCCCAGCTGCCAGGATTTGCTGCTAAAGTGCAGTCTAGCCAATGTGGAAATTCCCTGCTTCAGCAGGGATGCCTTTCAGGAGAGCCTTACCATGTACGGACCCTGCTGCACCTTCAACATGGAAAACAAGTAAGTAGATGAAGCTCAAGTTAACTATACTCTGACTGATTGTAATCGTGGACAGGCTCAAGCAGCGCAACTACAAGAATCGCCTAGCCAGTTCGGAGCTGGGTCTGACGGTAGTGCTGAACTCTAGCCAATCCGACTACTTTGCCCCCATCTTGAACACGAATGGCTATATTGTGTTGGTTCACAATGCAGAGAACTATGCCTCTGTTAGCTCCTCGAACGCACTCGAGATGTTTCCGGGACAGGGAGAGGATAGTTACCTGCAGATCTATGCTCGGGTGGTGGATACCGATGACAGTCTAAAGTCATTCTCCCCATTTGGTGTAGGTTTGACCAAGTATATAACGGAGTTTCTAAATATCCCCCATCTTTCAGCGACGATGTTATTTTGACCACGAGGCGCAAAATCCCAGCAATGAACAAGTGATGAAGACCTACACTTACGCATACTCCTTCCCAAACTGCATCACCAGGTGCCGGATCCGGAGCATCATCGCCCTGTGCCGCTGTCTGCCCTTCCAATTGCCCCTCCAGCTGGTGGAGAACCTCGATGGAGTGGTGTACTGCACTCTGGGGCATATCTCGTGTCTCAACCAGTACATGTGTAAGCTGGTTAGTTGCTTGGCTTAAACTCAATGTAATCTCGGATCCCCACAGTCAAGTGGCGCAACGTGCTGACGGAAAGGCATATAATCCCGGGTCTGGAGAGGGAGATCGAGGAGGCCTTGTACTGTCCCCAGTGCCTGCCCTCCTGCAGCGACGTGCAGTACCGCGTATCAATGAGTGCCCTGCCCATAGACAATTATCTGGCCACCTTGAAGGTTGACGAGAACAACCAGACCGAGCTCAGCTCGGATATCTCCGTGTTGAGGGTTTACTTTGGCGATCTCTATGCCCAGTACTACATCCGTCTACTGAACAACGCCTGGTTCGAGGTGTTCAGTGAGTTTTCTTTATTATACCGTACTCGGAGAGTAATTGCACAGTTTTAAAGGTACTATCGGCAACATCATGTCCATTTTCGTGGGCTTCTCCATGGTGGCTATCTTCGAGATTCTCTTCTTTCTGACCAAGTATATCTATGAGGGCTGCAACCGCATCGTGGAGCAGAATATTATCGACCGCAAGGCTAAGCAGTTGGAGACCAAAAAGTTGTACATATGTCCATAGAATGTGGAATATTTGGATTTACAAATGTGATTACAAATCATCTTAATTCTCGCAGAATTAAAATGAGACATTTTCGTATTGAAAACTTAGTCAAAAAGTCATAGTTTTCCGTAGTTTTGTAAATCTGTAAAAATTGTGTTCATGTTTCTTGTGGTTAGGAGCTTTGCACTAACCCATTCAGGGACCCGGAGTCACTTTGGCTTTAATTATGACAAGCAAGGAAGAGATTGGAATGTTAAGGGAGGTCGAAGGCAATCGCCCATTGCGCTGTGCACCTTTAATGTAAGCACTTTCCCTGTAAATAGTTGGAGAAATTTGGATAATGTCAACTTCCTTCCAAGAGCACTACGTGTAATGTTCCCAAACTCAAGATGATTAACTATGACCAATCCTTGGGGGATCCCCTGGCAGTGATCAATAATGGACTGACTGTGCTCCTAAGGATACCAAAGACTGTTGGGGGTAGGCAGCCCGCTTTGAGCATAAGCAGTGAGGGCGGGCATGTCTTTGAGGCCCAACAACTGCATTTTCATTGGGGCTCCGAGCTGACCAAAGGATCCGAGCACTATTTGGATGATCAATTTTACGACGGAGAGCTTCATATAGTTCACAAGAATTCCAGCTACAAAACCAATCAGGAAGCTGCTCTGCATCGCAATGGCTTCGTTGTCTTGGCTGTCCTCCTTAGGCTCTCGGAGGTACAAGGCTTTTACGGTTAATCTTGTTCAGATTCTATTCCCTCCCACCGCAGGATCCCCTAACTGAATCTCCGGCAATGAATGAGATCTGCAAGCAAGTCGGAGAGATTTCTGATCTAAACGGCATCCAATCCCTTCAAGAGGAGATGGCCCTGGGAGACCTCTTCGTTAGCATAGACCCCCATAGATATTTGACTTACCAAGGTAGGTACAGAAAGTGGGATGCCCCATTATATTTACTATATTCCTAAAGGTTCCCTTACCACTCCACCCTGTGCTGAGGCAGTACTCTGGTTCGTTTTTCTGACCCCTGTCGATGTGCCACAGGAATACGTAAGCAATTCACAAACTCGCGAATCTCATTTTGCTTAAATTCGAGAAATATTATATTTTTAAAATCCAATTACTAACAGTAATCATTAACCATGTCTAGTGGCAGAACTTCTGGCAGCTGAGGGACTCTTGTGGCAAGCGTGTTCTTAATACTTATCGGCATCTACAAGATGATTGTGAAAGACCCGTTTACCTAAGTAAAGGCAATAACTGAGACATTTAATTTGCCTTTCCAATAATAATGGCATGTAAAGTTTAGTCATAAAACCAAAAAATTGTGATGTACCGATGTAAAATAAAAATTGTGAAGAGTGCAAGAGATGTTTGTTTGTTTGCATTTAAGAAAGCTTAAGCTCAAATGTTTTAATGAAAGCTTTTTGCCGACAAACAGCTGATTTTTCCAACCCGGAATGTCTCGGAATTGCATTTTCGTGCTGCGTAGGAGGTTCAACTGGTGTCGAACGGATGTAATCCACTCGTCATTTAGGCCTTAATTGGGGAAAACATGAAGCGCCTGACGGAGCGTGTGCATCACGAGGAGGTTGCAGAGTCCGAGGAGGTGGTTTGGGTGAAGCGGGATGACGCCCGCTCCGATAGCAAGCTGCCCATCGTCTACTCCAGGGAGTATGCAGTGCGGTTCGCTGGCCTTGAACGCCTGCACCCCTTTGATGCGGCCAAGGGCAAGCACATACAGCAGGTGTGTATGTATCCAGTGTCCTTCAACGCCACGCAATGTAGCGCCGATTTTGTCACAGTTCCTGTGCGCCGAGCTCCAGCTGGACGACGGTAGCTTCTACGAGCCCAAGGAGCTGAGCAAGGACCAGCTCCGCCGCATACACACTAGGGACTATCTGAAATCGCTCAAATGGAGCATGAATGTGGCCTGCATTGCCGAGGTTCCGATCATGGCCTTCGTTCCCAATCGCTACATCCAGCGGGCCTATCTCCGACCGATGCGTTTTCAGGCGGCCGGTTCAATTCTCGCCGGCAAGTTGGCCCTAGACTACGGATGGGCCATCAACCTCGGCGGCGGATTTCATCACTGCTGCTCGACCAGAGGTGGCGGATTCTGTCCTTATGCAGATATCTCTCTCCTCATCGTCCGGCTGTTCGAACAAGAACCATTCCGGGTGCGCCGCATCATGATTGTTGACCTGGACGCTCATCAGGGCAACGGGCACGAGCGTGACTTTTGCAACGTGGCCGCCGTCTACATTCTGGACATGTACAACGCGTTCGTCTATCCGCGGGACCATGTAGCCAAGGAGAGCATTCGCTGTGCGGTGGAGTTGCGCAACCACACAGAGGATGCTTACTACCTGAGACAGCTGCGACGCTGTTTAATGCAGTCATTGGGCGAGTTCCGTCCGGATGTTGTCGTCTATAATGCGGGCACCGATGTGCTCAAGGGAGATCCTCTTGGTAACTTGGCCATCTCGGCGGAGGGGGTCATGGAGCGGGATAGGTTGGTATTTAGCAAGTTCCGGGCGTTGCGAATACCAGTGGTCATGCTACTTAGTGGCGGCTATTTGAAACAATCCGCAGGCGTTATAGCCGACTCCATTGTCAATTTGCGTCAACAGGGTTTGTTAACCTAAATTTTTGAGCCGGATTTTGTATTGTACCAAAGTAGTACAAAGCTTCGAATTACTGGAGTAAAGATGGACTTGTGTAACCGACAGCTGTGAATGGAAAACTGTACGCATATATGGCAGTGAAATACATGGTTTACACCTTATCAAAATTTATTAAACATATATATGTATAATTTAAAGTCGTTATCATAATAATTATTTGTCTTCTATGAAGTGATGATTTCAGATCATTAAGTTCAGTATCGCAAAAGATGCAGAAGGTATAAATATTTCCATTGTTTTAGGATTTACATATAGCAGTTCTTGTCACAATATTTGTACAGACATCTCTTCCTTGGCATTATTAGAGGTTCCATTATAATTTTCGTTTATCTCTATGTACACTGCGAAACGGGCGGGAGGCCGGCACAAGTAAACCGAACGAATTTCTTGCGCAAGAGAGTACTGATTTTGTCGCAATTGGTTAAATATCTATTATATATGATACAACATAGTCGCTAGAGGCTAATTCACTTGTTTAAAATACAAAAATACATATAAATAAACGTTTGCTTAATGGCTTAAATTACGAATTAGAATATCATTTTAGTGTCTTTGTTTAGATAATTTCCTGGCATTTGTTTAGATTTTCTTGAAGAAGTCCACTGACTAACAGGCCGTCGGCGGCGGCAACCTAAAAGGGCACACATATGTATATCAGAGAGCAATAAATGGGAACTCTAGGAAACTAACTACTTCGAAAACAGTTAACGCGCATGCATGCAAAGTTTTGTGGAATGAACACGAGCTGAACACGATGATGATGGCTCCGCTGCAGCAGTTGTAACTTCATCAACCAAATAATCTAAAAACAATAAATCTCAAATAAATATTACAAGAAAACTAAAAAGAATTCACTATGATCTGAATATGACAAAAGGATGGTGACAATGGGTTTCCCAATAAAACGGATGATGAGCAAATGCTGACTTACGCGGCATTGCTAGCTGGCAAGTCCTCGAAGAGGACTTCCGAACGTGAGCTAATTATGTACACCAAACAGAAGGATACGATGAGCACCACTATGCCGATGCTGAGTGTTGTGATCTGGTGCACATTGGACGGACGCAGGAAGATGCGTGCACTGAACTGGGACCAGGTGGACTCGGTCCATGTGGAGTATTGGCCTGAGCTCCAATCATAATCTAGTAAAATCGCGAAATTTAGAATAAGTTTAAAAGATGGAAAAAGGTTAAGGCTTACCATCAATAAGAAAAGCCGGACTTAAGGCGTAGCTGTAGTTCTGGGTCGTAAGACGACATTCGCCGACGTTGTTATAACCGGCAAAATAGTGCAGCGGCAATTTGGTACAGTTATCTTTGTGAATATTTGGCTGAGGCTGCGACAGCAGGTAACCTAGAACACGATACGTCCAGCCAGATGACTCCTGAGATCCGCCCAAAACGCTTATATAGCTGTAATGGTAAACAATAGTAATATTGCATTAATTTTGCGTAATTCCTTTCTTGCAGCTCACACACTCACCGCATCGGAGGTAACTGCAACCCGTTGGGACTTCCAGGATATGACGAGGCCTTGAAGAGCGGACAGTCTGCCGACTGGAGGAAACAATAAAGAAGTTCGTCGGCCAGCAATGGATTGGCCACCTTGGTGCCTGTGTATTCCTTGCCAGTAAGCGTTTGGTAGAGCGCCAATGCCACAATTGAAGATATGTTGCGCACTTTCATCTGCAGGGAATCAGCTTTCAACCCCTTAAAGTCGCTCACGTCCGCTAATTGAGTGAAATCCTGGCTTGAGTTGGCATAGGTAAAGTCTACATTGTCCGCATCATCGTAAATGGAATGATAATATTTGTTTGTTGGCCGGGCGTTCAAAATGAGGGCGGGAAACTTTGGATCTCGCCGCAGGAAAGACTGCGCCGAGGTGGGCGGTATGTGGGCGCTAATCTCCGACTGTATGTTTAGGTTGAAACCGTAGCGTGGTGTTTTGGCATAGTTGTTTAGCTGCGCCAGCAGTTTCTGCGCATGGTCTGATCCTCTCAAGGCATGCAGCTTGATGTTAGCTATGTCATCCAACGTACCAATGTCCAGCATGAACTCTATATTGTCAAAAGCAATCGGATAGCTGCGTGCAGACTCTGGGGGAACTCGAGTTTCTCCATATCGTAGACAAACCTCTGTGACCCGATATAGTCGTATGATTCTCCATTAAAAGTCACAAAGAGAACATTTCGGCGGGATTCGGGAAGCGAGCTCTGAGGCGGAAGCAGTTGCCGTAAAGATTCGCCACCTGCGTAAAAACGGCGAGCCCCATTAGGGAATCCATTGCTCCAAGACCTAAAAAAAAGATTGAAAATAAGTGTATATTGGGATTGGAATGGATAAACCCATGCTTACCAACTCCATCAAACATGCTAACCGTGTCCAACCGGCAAGTAACCATTATAAATTTTTCGTTCGTCCTGATAACTTCGACACCGCCATCGATTAGAGGCTCCCGTGGATACACAGTGGCATACACATTGCGTCCCTCGAGTGGATCGCAGTACTTGCTGCCACCCAAGTTGTTGATAAAATTGGTGCGCCGCATGCACACCTCAGTGTTGACGGCGGCAGACATGAAGGATTTGACCTCCACGGCGCAAAGACTACGCAGGGCGTGCGTCTCGTAGTTTTTGTTGTTGAACTTTTCAAAGCACGTCTCCAGCTTCTTGATCTCGTCGGGATCGGCGATGTAGTAAATAGGAAAGGGGAAGTCCTCGTGCAGGAGACCAGTGCCCCAGGGATTCCAGTTTTTGGCCGGATTGCTGGCATCGCAGGTCTCGCTGCTGCTGCTGTTGATTCCGCTGTACTGGTTGGGACAATTGAGCTCGTGGGAGAACTGTTTCATCTTGTCCGGCTTGTTGATCAGCAGCACCACCGAGATGTTTTGCGGCCGGCCATTTTCAGTCGCATCAGGTTGTAGCGGGTGAACAAGTGCGGAGGTATCAGCGGAGCGTACGGTGGCGATGGGGGACTGGCGAGCAGGAAATCCAAGTCAGCCTCCACATTGATCCGATGCAGCACGCCCATGGAGCCGGAATAAGTGGCTGTGGGAGACTAAGATTAAACACTGTTTGCGAGGACATTTTCCGTCAAGCACTCACATGAGCAGCCGGTCTGGTGGGTGCCGTTTAGTCGTCGGAAACAGCTAGCTCCCAGAATGGGCTTGTACATCTTATCGCGCGTCCGTTCGCCTTGAGCTACGGGTAAAAACAAGAACGGCTTAGGTGACTCAGCATGTGCGAATTGGATTTCTCCGTCCAAGGGGAGTGGGCGAGGGAGTTTCAGCAAATCACAGTCAGCAATTGCAGGCACCGCCAGATGTCTGGGTTCGGTTCTGCTTCGATTCCTTACCCACATAGGCGCCGTGCACAAGCATGAGCAGCCATATCACAGCCGCACTTAAACGCTTTTCCATCGGAAGACCCTTTGCTAGCCTTGTTCTTATCTTCGCTTAGTTTTCCAAGATTTCGGCAAAAAGAAAGGCAATAAATGCTCGCTAAAACAAAAACATTTTACTACCAGTGTGGCCGTAGTTCTACAGATGAAAATAGCCAAATTGACAAAATTATACTATAAAATTCAAACAACGTATGTGAACATCAAACAACGTAACATCTTAACATAAGTGATAATTATTCAAAATCAATAATAACCGGAACTAATGATTTAAAATAAGCTGCTATAAAACTCGTCTATGTACCTCCATATCAAAAACACAAACTAAATCAATTTTTCTGTAGAATTTTAATTTACCTAAACATGGTTAGAAAAACATGTAAAACTAGAGCACTTAAAATATACGGTTCTAAAACAGCGTGTCTTCGGTGCGAATGTACTCGCCTATGTCCGATTGGTGAAAGCAGACAGTGGTCAGGGGATCGGCGGTCTTGCAGTCTGTGGTAGAGCGGGCCAGGACGCCAAATCCGAGAGGCAGATCGTTCATCGAGTACACCACTACGCCCTGGTACTGTGCGGCGTTTTCCGTGATGCGACCCAGACCAGTCTTGGGGATATGGTTGCCGTACAGGAACTGCTGCTCGAACGAGGACTTCACCCACACCTTGTACTGCGCGTAGGGTGCCAGGTAATTTAGGGCTGTGATTTGGAACTTTAGCTTGTTCGTCTTGGAGAACTTTCCAAAGCAAGTGCCTACGCACACTAGCTGCTTGTAGCCGAAACATTCGCTCAGCTTCAGGATGCGCTCCGACACGTAGTAAACACGATCCTTGTGCTCGCGAAAGCAGTAGGTTCCATCAGGCCGATCAATCAATTGCTTCACATTTGTACCAATACTAAAAACAACCATATAAGCGATGCACCGAAGAATCTAGTGTAATACTCACTATTTGGAAAGCTTCTCGAACAGGATCTTGGCACGTTCGTCACTCAGGCGTTTCATTTTAAAATAGTTTAAGCAAATTCAAGAAAAACGAAAACTAGCCGCTACACGTGAAATAAGATAGAGATGTGAAAACTTTTCAACTTTATTTCCGTGGATTAGTGCTATCGATACTATCGATGTTCAAAAATCATAATTTTAAAACATAATTTTTTTTAGACTATCAACAATTTAATATTTTTGCTCGCTTAAAAAACGAATATTTTTATTCATTTCATTTCGATTATACTCTATAGCATTAAGACACATGGTAAACATCAAATGATATGTGATTTTTTTTGTTTTAATCGTTAATGATAATAATAATTTATTTTTTTTTACGTTCCAATTAATTTTTGCACTCTTTAAATTAAGATAATAAATAAAAAAAAATAAAGTGATTTATTTACAATTTTCTATTCATGGTGTATCGATGTTGTTCTGTTGTTCTGAACTGCTTTAGTGTTGTGGAACGTTGGACAGTTGCCAAATCTTACAGCACTAGAAATCGATATTTTTACTCGATTTCTCAATGTACATTTTGAAACAAAAAAAAAACGTTAAAAGAATAAAACGTTGTAAAATAAAAGAGTTTGTTAGAATCACTGGCATCGACTTTTATGAATTCAAAGGAACGACTTTAGGTCCTTAGTAGCAGCTGTGGTTATGCTCGTTTTATTGGCGGTAAAAAATGATCAGACCACGAAAATCGGCAAAAGTTATTTTTTGAATACAACTTTTATAAAAGGGCGACTTGACCTCTAGCCTGGAAAAAAATTGCAGAAAATGTTCTCAAGTAATTAAGATTATAAAAAGTCTTGTAAAAAATATGTAAATCTCTTGCTATTAATCCCATTCTATATTATAAAACCCAAAATAACCAATGAATAATAAATTTGTTTGAATTTTTTTAGAACAAACTTTTTTGAATTAAGGTAATTATTCTATATTATTCAATAAGTCCGAAATAAACTTATTTCTAATAGTGTTTGGGTTCTGTCTAATAATAAACACTTACAAATACATAAATAACTAAAGCAAACACTTAGTCTAATCATGAAGTATCACGTATTCAGGTGGAGTTCATGCCTCATGCCGTCTCCAGGCGTTTCTGTACGTATTGCCGCTCCTTCAGCAGCTCGTCTAGCTGCTGTTCCTGGTAGTAGACCACAAACTGGGCCGCCGACACCTGCTCGAATATGGCGCAAATGCTGGGCTTCAGGTTGTAGAAGAAGAGCAGCTGCCCCCGCTGGTTAAAGTCAGTGATCAGAGAGTCAATAACTGTCGCTGTCGTGAAATCGGCTCCATACACATGGGAGGCATCGATGACCACTGGCAGATTTTGGCGCATGGACTGCTTGTTGACCAGATTCCTCACATAATCCACCGATGGAAAGATGAGGCAGCGGTCTGGGGTGATCATGGAGTACTCCACGCCTGACTGTGTTGTCAGCAGTTCGGTAGTGAGCTTGGGACGCGCCGCATGGTACAGAATGAAGATGACGTTTAGTCCAACACCGATTAGAATGCCCCACTCCAGAGGTAAGACCAGACAGGCTACGAATGTTCCCACTCCAGGCACTAGATCACTTCCTGAAATATTACATTGAATTTACATTAGATTTGCTTTAAACTTGACTGGTTTTAAGTTCTTACTCTTCGATCTCCACATGGGCTTGACCACCCTGACCTCAATCATGAACACCACTGCGGCTATGATGATGGCGGCAAGTGTGGGCCGGGGAATAAAGTAGAAGTAGGGGGTAAGGAATACAAGTGCGATCATCACCAGACCACCCGAGTAAATGTTGCTCAGGGGCGTGCGGACTCCGCTGGCGTTGTTCACTGCTCCTCGACTCAAGGCTCCAGTTCCTGGGAAAGCCTGGACAAAGGAGTTGAAGATGTTGGCTGTTCCAATGGCGATCAGCTCCTGGGAGGCATCCACCGGCTTACCGTTGGCTGAAAAAATTGTCTATCAGCCGGGCAAAGCAAATAGCTAAGAGGATTTTCTCACTCACCGAAGGCCTTACAAATGGCAATGTTTTCCATTAGTGAGATCAGGGGAATCACCACTAGGCCGGAGCCCATACTGTGCACCATCTCCACGAATCCCTGGGCGACGCCATTGCTCGTCTCATTGGCACTCAGCGAGGTGGGCGGCAACTGCAGACTGGGCAGACCAGGTGGAATATCCCCCACAACTCTGAAGGGGGCACCGTGCTCCTCGCTGTGGAGCATGTAACCCATGGCACAGCACACGACCACCAGGATGGCGTTGCGAGCGGTTCCTACGATCCACAGAATCTTGTTAACCGCCCGCTGGAAAGCGGAGCACTCTTCGTCATTCGCTGGTCCAATGCGGCAGGAGGAGAGGCTGCGCATGAGCAACAGCACTACAATACAGGTGAGTCCGAGGACCGTGTCTCCCGCCCGCGTGTGCTCAATGTTGTGGAAGACCTGTGTCCAGATCTCTACGAAGGTGTTGCCCTTGGCCGTGATTCCCAGTACGCTTTGGATTTGCGAGGTGAGGATGATGAGAGAGACGGCGGAGGTGAAGCCCGAGGAGACTGGACCCGACACAAAGTCTATGAGAAATCCCAGCCCGAACAGACCCATTAGCAGCTCCACTATTCCGCTGAGAAGGCAGAGAAGGACGGACTTCTGCCACGATCCCTGGGCAGCTTGGTATGTAAGCAGCGCCACAATAGCCGAAGGACCCATTGGCACATCCTTGCAGCTGCCCAGAAAGATATATACGAAGCAGCCCACAAAAGAGCCATATAGACCATACTAAAATGGAGAGAACAATCACGATTAGGATTTTATGATCTATTTTATTCATAGTGTTTTTACTTACAGCAACGGGTAAACCTGCGATGCCCGCATAGGCCAGCGCCTGTGGAATGACGGTAAGACCCACGGTTATGCCCGCGACTAGGTCGCCCACTGCATCCTGGCTGTTATAACGTGGCAGCCAGCTGACGATGGGCAGGCGCTTGTGCAGGGTCTTGCGGTTGAAGGTGCGCCGGCTACAGTCCTGCAGCCAGCTCCGGGTGCAGCCGAGCGTGCTCAGCGGTGGCTTCACCTTCTTGCCGTCCTCGGTCACTGGAAAGGTCGAAACGAAAGCGCAGAAATTGGTCAGAGATGCCGGAAAAGTGAGTTTAATGAGCTGCCGACGACAGCGGCTCTACTTGGTTTTAAGTTCGCTTCTGACTCATAATCATAATCATAATCACGTACTAGCTAGCACCACGCTCCATCTGCTGCCTTTCCCACTCCCAATTCCCCCTTTGGGCCGAGCTCAGACAGTTGGATTTCTGTTTGCTTTCTGGTATTGTAATTGCTTGCGTTTTTATTATTTTTTTTTTTTGTTCTGAGGCTTTCCATGATCTAAACGAATTTCATTGCCAAGGCCTGGTGTAGCTTAACGGCTGAGAAAACGTGGAAAACAATTGCATTTATCTCTGAGTGGAAGGCACGGGGCGTATACTTGATGCTGCGTTTTCACTTCCAATTCGATGAGAAGTCGGAAAAATTGGCTGAATTCCAGTTAACTAATTTAATTGCACGTAAGCTAGGAACTAATTATGAAATCAACAGTAATTTGTGGTGAAAATTTCGAAATAAATAAAAAAGCTTGCCAGGTACTTTGTTGCGTAATAAATTGTTTGTTGAGCTAATGTTGCAAATTCGATAGTTGCCTTTCGTGATTCTGAAAAACCATTAAAGCAGTTCTAATTTGATTTTACAATTCTCCAATTTATAGTTAATGGGTGCATTCGTTTAAGCCATTCAAGCCCCTCCAATAATTTAATGGTAATTTGTGAAAAAAATGTACTAATAAATCAAATTGCTAATAATTTATATTTGCTACACTGTTCAAATTATCTTTATACCGGAGGATGCAATTTATATAAGACTCAAACTAACACAATTAATAAAAAAACTCTTTAATACTAGCCTAGAATTTACGAGATATAATATATCAGTAACTGTCAATAGTTTAAGACTTTCAACCTCATTTGAAATTGGTCAAAGCAAATAAATGTGTTTTCAACTTGTCAAAATGAAACAAATATACCGAATACATTTAAAAAAAATGTCGAGACCTTGGTCTTAGCTCACTGGCCCTATTCAAATGCTGTCAGAGTTGTTGTTAATTAGACTTACGAATGAACTCCTTGGATCCTTGGGAGCCCACGCTGTTGCCACTGCCATTCTGATCCGTGAGATTGGTACTGATGCTGATCGTTGAGCACTTGAAGCCGTCGTTGAAGTACACATGATCCGAGGCCGGATTTGACTTCATCTTTGGTCCGCGTTCGGATACAAAAATAAATAAAAACACTGCGATCGAAATTCAGGTTAATTGGGGTTCCCCGTATAACAGTTGCTGCCGGGGTGACACCAGGTGACACTAGATATACTGCAGACACTCGCGTATGGTCGTAGATGCATCTATTTAGTCTGTACGGCTAGATGCTAGGTAGCAAGTAGGTAGGTAGAAAGTATCTGAAAGATGCTCGACGCTCGCCCGCTCGGTTCTGGTCGGTGTGCTCTTCACACGGCAGCGTTTCGAACGAAACTGTTTTGTACTTGATGCGAACCTTGTCTTTTATAAAATCAAAACTTTGTTGACGCTCCGCTGTGTTATTGTTGTTCGGCGTCTTCGTCATTGTTGTTTCCCGTAGTATATCGAGTCGTCGGCGAGCCTCAGTTTTGGGCCCGACATTATTGTTGTTGTCTTGTCTAGGGGAACCTAGCTGGCTGAACTGATAATCGAGCCTGGGGGAAATGGATAAAGACAGAAGTGATGAGTTCCCATTGCGTGATTCGTTCCCTTTTCGAAGCACTTAGTGCTGCTTGTGTCTCCGATTTCGGATTTTCGCTGATCGGGGAGAAGAAAGGAAAGGAAGTTGTAAATTCTTTTCGTATTAGTCCATAATTATTTGCCTGGCTCGGCACTTTTTGTTTTGAAAGCATTCGACCAACACGTGAGAGCGGTCAACAGTTTTTGTTGCTTGTTATTATTATTTCTCCACCGATATACCTCTGAATAACTGGAATGGAAAGTTACCCAGAACTCTGAGCGGGGGAGTCCACAAAAAATACCCAAATTATGGACCCTACATTTTTGGGACTTTCCTGACGAAATTTTCCACTTATTAAAAGGAACAGGTACAGGTATCTTTTCCTTTGTCTTCGAGACCATCCAGTAGGGGGTTTTTCACCTCTTACGACGCCGTCTTTGGCCAGGTAATGTGCTAAGACCTCTGGCTGACCCAAACCAGATTGAACTGGACCACTCTGCTGCAGACGAAATCACTCTCTAAGAGCGTGACCGAGTGCAGTAGTTCAAGCCGTGCATATGGGAAACCTGTAGATACATTCTCAAAAGAGCAATACTCTCTAGCTTTGATTTGCTTTTTACCTTTATTGAAAGTGGCACTGCATATTTGTATTAAATCATCCTTTGTTTGGGAGTCATTGAAATTACAAATATAATTTAATTTTTAATCACCTTTTTGTCACCTTTTTAAATGTCCAGAAGTGACAAATTTCAGAAATACTTCTTTTATTAGATTTTTTTTTTGTAATTTCCAAAAATATTATTGAGTTTACTATTTTAAGGAATTATCAGATATATAATATATATATTGATTATTTCTCCACACTCAAATAAACCATAAACAATCACACGAAATCTAAGCCAAGCTTGCCGTAGAAATAGTTGCGTCGAGTATTCTGAATATTTCAGAGATATGAACTTGACACTATATAAGCGAAGACCCCAGGCTAGGCAAACAAAAGGCGATACCAAAAAATGTCATGGATAAATAAATATTTAAATGCACGGCTTAGTGACAGCTTGGGGTCGAATAGGTTTCCGATGGAAATTCGATTCATAAGTTAAGCGTTAACGTTAATTCTGTGCAAGATGGGTTTGTAAATGCACGAAAACTGTGTGATTCCCGAGCCGAAATGCATTCAAAGTGTTGTCACATGCTATATGAGAAAAACGTGTATTTTTATTTAGTTTCAGATCGAAACTTTCTATGCAACCGTCACAGTTCGCTTAATAGATATAAACTTGCTAATTTACGACTTTTTTCAGAAGCATTGCACTTGGAATTCGAGATGAACATTTAAATTCAAGCAAAACTTCGCCAAAAAGCTTCCTAGACAGCTGATACCGTGACAAATGGAAATATTTAAATTAATTGAAACGGGCTGTTTATGATAAAAGGCCATAAATATCACTGTCTTTATAGCCTGGCCAAGTTCAAAGACGGAGAAGCAGGCGGTTTCGTTATTAATACTCACTGTTTGAAAGGGTCTATTAGGCCTAACGAATTGTTTTAATGGACTAACCCGAAAAACAATTTTAAAGCACTATATATTTGGGGGATAAATACTTACAAATTTATCTTATTTTAAAAGAGGTAGAAAAACAGCAATAAAAGTTTATAAAGGACTCTATATATAAATAAATACAAACAAAAACTTCTTAGTTCGAATTCCTTTAGAATGTAAATTAAAACATATTCTTTCTCAATTAATTTAAGGAAGAAGGTTTTTTGCTGGGTATCTCTCAGGTCTGTACCCAATCGCTTTAACTATCTTACACGTTTCGAAACCACTTTATGTTTTCGGGCTTTTTTTGTGGCTTTTTTGTTGTGCATTTTGTTTCCTAAACGCAGTCCAATGACTTGAATACTATCGGTCAGGTGGCAAATAGTTTATTTGCAACAACACATTCATTTTTTTTAAATTAAAATATATAGATACGTCAAGACGCCGGTTACTGGTTTCATTCACATTTCAATGATCTGATCTTTTAGGAACTGACTGTTACTCTGAGGAGGGGACACTCCTTCTGGCGAATCTTTGGGCTAATTTTGGATGATGTCAAACAAGCTGGCGTTTGCAAATATCGCCGTGAAAGTCTTTTCTATATATATACACTTTCCAAAGGCATTTCCCTTTGTTTTGGTTTATTTTTAACTATTTAAGAGCCTCACACTTGGAATATGAGTGGGCGGGGGAGCGAGTTTGAGCGAATTGTGGGCGTGTAAGTCAATTGGACGCCACTGGAATCGCCGGTACTGGACTTGAGCTAATTGCCTTCAAATTAAAACTTCCTCGACGAAATAATAATTGTATTTAATTAAAGTTTGCTCATACGCACTTAAATATTACACATACAGCTGACCGCCCAGAGGCACACACGTGTTTGAACTTTGCACCCCGACAGGTGTGTGACCTTTGCCACCGAAATGTGTTCTCCCTCCCCGAAGGGCACTCGCAAAAGTAAACATACACTTTTTAGCAGCGATAATTCGCCGATATACTCGTGACTTTCTCAATGTTCCCTTAAATTTGGTGTCTAAAAACTCCACAATCTGGCTAATAAGCCCACAAAATGGCCAACAGGAAGCACAAATGTTCAATTAATTGATCAATTACATTTCGCTGTTCAGTTTTTGCTGTCCGTCCACTTGTTACCTGTTTTGTTTGTTTGTTTTTTCATTTGACTTTTTTACGGCTCGAGCTACAGGGCCAATTGCGAAATATATTTCGCATGACTTCCAAATCATCACAAAGGGCGTAACGAACCGCACGGGGCGTGGCCAATCGCCGTACAATTTCTACAAAACAACGAACTGTCGCCCATTTTAATTAAATGCGTTCGGTTTGTTTTTAGATTTCTGTCGTAGCTGAATTCCTATATATACCTATCTATATCTATATATCCGAAAGCTGTATTTACAGAGCACAAGAGGGTTTGTTTTTTGCGAAAAATGTGAGACTATCGCAAGAAAATCACGTATACAACATGTTACTCCATATACAAAGGCATTTATATTTGCATATTGGTGCGGATACTTGCAGTTACACATTTTGAAGGATATTAGAAAGATGTTTACTGTAGAACGTGATCGGGAATAGTTATATAGGGGATGGGGTAATCGAAATCATTTCTTAAATTATTACTATTTCGGCACTTTTTACCTTTAACGGACGTTTTATTTTTCTACAAAACAGTGCTAACAACTAATCCAATATTGTGTACTAATTTGAGGTTTCTCTTTTGGCTCTTCTGCCTTTCATGAATGGCTCATTGTTCAAGTCAATGTCGTGGCTTTACAATAGCTTGTTTATATTCGGTGTTCTCAGAATTTGGATTTCTTGCAGTATATTTGCTATAAACTCGGTTCGCCAGCCAGAGAATGTGCATTTCATGATACTCAAAAACTAAAACAAACTAATTCAGCAGAAGTAACTTAAGTAACCTGTTGGGAGACGGAGACACAGTTACAATTCCCTCGTTAGTTCATAATTATTTGACTGAATGGATGATTTATCGCAGGGTAAACAATTTTAAAATTTAAAGCCCCATAAAACGAGTTTCCTCATCTATGTGTATCTGGTCCTACAGGGGGAAACTGCTACCGGCTTTTATTTGTTTTGAATATTTATGACTCGATTGTTTATATTTGATGGCGCGCAGTTTTTTGATAAGTTTGCGATTTTTATGCAAAACGCGTTTCCCTCGACGATTACGCATCAAAGGAAACCACAACTGGAATCTGTGCGGAATCTTATCATAAAAACCATCCATATATCTTCAAATTGAGATCGTTTTAGATTTTGTTTAAGATATGCAACGACGCTTATATAGTATATCTAAAGTGATTCAAACCGAACTTAACCAGTTCAAGCCGCAGTTCATGATAGGATCAGCTTAAGGCACTTGAGAATATTTCGAGAGTCGAGAGTATTTTTGAGAGGTGAAAGTCAACACTAAGGAATAAATTCTTAATTAGCAAGCAAGGTCTCAATCTTAGGAATTTGTTGTAAAATGATAACTAACTTGCCTAAAATTCGGCAACTGAAAGTTCTTCTTCTTGAGTAATTAATATGGGCTAAACGCCGACAGCAACTCCGTGTTTGGATTAACTAACCCACCCATTTAGGGAACCTTTGTTTTAAACACGTTCCCGCGTTTCCGTCACGTAATCTAACGACGAATTCTCACTGCCGCATGCCATAAATCGCATGTCTTGTTAACTGAAAACAATTGCCAAGTTACAAGTTCGTAATGGAATTTATTCTTAAACAGCTTCAAAATATTAAAGTTAATCCGGGGCCGTAGCATCTTGGAGATGTGAATTTTAGCCAAAATGATTCATTTAATTGACACTTCATTGAGGAGATCATAAAATTAGCACATTTTATGGCATTTTATGAACCCAATTAGCATTGGGACTTGGCTTTGAGGTAGTCATAAACAAATTGGTAATCGTTTAGTGTTAAACGTTAATCGACCGTTCAAATTGCGTCAATGGATTTGTGGCCAAAAGAGCTGCTAAAACTCAGACTTACGGCACTTGCAATGGGAATTTTCACTGCCAACAGTTTTGTCCAGTTTGTTTGCCCCATTTAATGTCCACCGCTGTCTGTTGTACATATGTATATCTGGATGTCATCTGGGTCTGATGTCAGCCCGGAAAAATGTGGCTTACCCTTGTAGGTGTGTGTGTGTGTGGTTGAGGGGGGTGGGCGCAAATAGCCCAATTACAGCTGGAATGCCAGTCGCTGTCTATTGAAATTGGCCCAAAACGATTCGGTGCCACCGGAAATGTGATTTTATTCGCATTGACTTTGGCGCGCGTCGCACACCTCAAATTGAATTTTTTCGTTGCCAGTTCTTCATTGTCTGTGCGTTCTAATAACTATGTTTGATTCCAATGAATATTTATGCGGCACCACTCCAAGAGTCGAATCAAGTTCGCATGCAAATGGCGAATGCAGGCCATAAACTTTTAGATCTCAGCGGATTTACGTTGATTCTTGCACGCGCACACACGCGACTCGCAGAGGTTTATGTTTGATTTGATTTGATTTTTCACCGGCAAACTGTTGGCTGATCGCACAGCCGGATCGGTTAAGTAAATAGGCGTTACTGCGGCCCGTTCAGATCTCGAGGCCCGGAAAGCCCTCGAAAGTTGTCACCGCTCCTCGGCAGCGATCGTGCAATTGTTCGTGGGAGCGGAGCGTGGCGCTGTTTGCTTTCGACGGCGAGAGCCGAGCTTTGGCGCGGGGAAAGCTTTCGCACAGTTTCCCCATTTCTCTCGCGCTTTTCGGCAAAGATATTTGAAAGTAAACCTCGCCTCGAATGGGGCCAGGCGAAAGGTGTTGGCATTACAAAATAGCCAACTTGTTAACATATTGATAACTATTATGCTGCATTAAATCTGTACCAATCTATTAATAATCAATGCCGCGCGCATTTACCCCGACAGCCGGAGTATAGATAAGGTTAGATAACCGATTAGTTCAGCGTTGTAAAAATGCAATAAACTGGGAGGAAACGTATCAGAAAATATTCAAGCAATATAGATCCACAATCTAAATTCCAAAATATTGTTAATAAAAGTTACTATTTCCTTACCAATTATATGTAATTATAGAGCTATATTTATACCTCATCTATTTAAACCTAATCTATCAATTGATTTAATTCAACTATTTTAAATAATTACTATTACCAACAATCTACATACGTCAATTACTTCTTGCAAGATTTTGGTCTTACAACCAGGCATTATATAATGGGAACCATTTCAAATTAGCAGTAAATCAAAGCTATAATTACATTACTGCCAGAACCAATATCTTTAAGCCCCCATTAGCTAAGCTAAGATACACACGTCTGAGTTATTAGGATCCACAAATATTTGAATACATTTGAATATTTGAATCTTTCCTTATGTCTGTCAGTTTCTGATGGAAAACAAATCCTATTTCTACTAACTTTTTTGATTGTTCAGAGGATTGTGTGTTATGTATCCTATTAATACAAGATAACTCGTACTAACTAATTATCCTCATCTATGTGATCAAATTACCGTGTTACGCCTACCCCTCCAGTAGGCGACTATTTTACTATACGATGTATACCATATAGAAAATAAAACCCTATAGTTACAAAATTTAATAAAAAAAAGGATGGTAATCGGACTAATCTCTTGCCTTTGTAATTAAATTAGGAATATATTAATAGTGTTCGAGTTTCTATTTAATATAAGAGAATAATATGATATAAATAAATTATTCAAAGGTTCCGAAAAATTGTATACTTTTTTCAGTTGGTTTAGAGCTTAATCATAAATTTATTTTAAAATTTCAATTAAATTAAATTCAATTTAAAGGTCCAAATTTTAAACCGATGCAATAATTTAAATAAATCTCAAATAAGCCAGGCAAGTAAAAATATGTAAGCCGCTAACAATGCTACTTGCCTTTGCACAGCTATATAATCACCCAAAGAGAACATAATCCCAAGACCAAGCTTCTGATTATCCCTAATAAAACACCCAAATACAAGATATTATTTATTTTCGAAGGGTTTTATTAAATAATATAGATACCAGCTACAGAGAAAACGGTTTTAATGGATAAAGTTCTTTAACCAGGCCTGCTTCTGAGTGACGCAATCAGAGATCAGAAATCCCTTGTGCAACGGCCTTGAACCTTACTTTATTATGAATTAATTATATTTTATTTATTTCATTATTATTATTATGTTCTGTATTGATTGTGGGCTGTGAGCTCGTAAAGCTATTTTAGGTTGGATACATACAAAAATTAAAATGTTTCACATTTGTAATTGCGATGTCAAGCGATCTGAATCACAGTGCTGCAGATAAGTTTGCCTATCGTTATGTATAATTTCCGTTTTTGGGGATTCTCGTTTATTATTCTTGGACACACGTACATATAAAATTACAATAAAATGGTGCAAAACGTTTCCTCTAAAGTTAATTCTGGTTGACTAGTGTACGGGGTACTGACTAAGGTCGAGAGGGGGATCTATAGAAAACATTTATCAGATAATATAATTATGTATATCGTTGTATAAATATAACGCAACTTTCCGTGAGAAGCGAATAAAATTGACGGTGGTATATATGAAACTTATACAATAGAACGACCTTTAGGCTAATGGCGACTGAACTTTCCTACTTTCCGCATTGGGTTTTCTCCATTTCTCCGAAGACTTTCCTCTTCTGCTCTGTTCACATGCAAGGGGGACAGGGGCTGGGCTGATGATGTTTGGTTTCTGTTGGTTTCACTGAGGCACATTTGATGGATCACTAGGGGAGATAAACGCCAAACTACGACTCCGAACTCCTACTCCTCCTCCCTCTGCTAAGGTCGCCTCCTAGAAATGCTTTCGCATTTGGGCGGACACCAAGAAGGGCGCCAGCAGGGAACAGATCGACATCAGGATGTTGACCAGGGCATTCAGATTGGCTGTAAGTCGGAGAGACTTGTTAAGGTATTGAATAGTTTTGATCATAGTTTTGATATAGGTAAACAAAATTAACAGCTTTTTGTATATGAAGAACAACTAAAGTTTGCAAATATTGATAGATACAAAAATAATTTAAATAGAATACCAAATAAATAATATTTTGTATAAAATAATATAACCTCGATAAGGAAATTAACTAATAATATTATAAGAAATTAAGTTTATTTGGCAGGACCTCCGCTGCAGATGTCGTGCAGGATATCCTCCACGTAGCCGTTATCGTTGTCGCACAGGCACAGCTTGGTCTTGCTGGACATGAACTTGGACACGCCGATGGTGCGGTTGCTGTTCTCGAACTGGCAAACCATTCCGTCCTCGCAGTCGTTGTTGCTGTTGCACTTGTGACGCAAGCCTATAAGCAGCCAAGGATACAAGAAAACATATCAAAAATACACAAATCCAAATAGCAGTATCACATTCCTTAATCGATGGCTACCGAGAAACCCTGACAACTCTCACACCCTTTCTTTAATCCTCCGGACGAGGATCTGTCACTTGCGGAGTAATACCGATGGCAAGATTCTAGAGGCCGGACATGTGCATGCAAATGTCGCATATGGCACTTTTCTCGGGGCTGTGCATGTCACAAATTGGCACTGCGGCTATGGCGATTCCCATTACCATTTGCTTCCCATTTGGCCGCCTCGTTTGGGCCCCCAGTCGCAGTCACGACATCCTAACATAAATCCGACATCGACATTGCGCTGCCATAAAGCGAGAGCCTTTCACGCCGCGTTGGAGTATGCCCTGCCGGCGGGGCAACAATGGAGGGCGCAGGACCCAAGGATCCGCGGAGCCAAGACGCCGAGCGAGCAGCACAAGGAGAACAAGTGTGAATTGCGCACGAAAACTAAATAAATAAGAACGCAAATAGCGGGGCAGAGGGAGCGGGTTGAGGGGGGCCCCGGCATTCTCCACCTGGATGGATGCTTTGTTTAATTCTCATTTAGGCGGCGCCTTGGACACATCACCTGCAACTCATCCACCTGGCTGCCACTTGAGGCACATCATCACAGAGGAGGCCTCCAAGAAAGCAGCGGAGCCTCTTAAATAATAAATGTAATGTGCATGTCTTAGCAATTAGTTGACGTTTTGTTGCCTGTTCTATTTCCAGCATCTAGCGAAAGGATTCTACAAAGAAATCCTTGGCTGTGCAGAGAACAAGACAATTTGGAACAGTATGGAGAAACTTGTTTTCTAAACCTTTTTGTGGAGTTGTTTAAAACATTTAACAGCTTGATGTATAAATCTCTTGGTACATTACTTGTTATAATTGTTATTTAATATTTAAATCCCAAAAACTCCTATATCTATATAACTAAGCGCTGCTAAACAGTTGCTTTGTTCATTTAAAGTAAATATTAATGGAACCGATTAAGAGGTCCACAAGTAGAAAGTTGAGTGGTAAGTAAAATCCTTATATTCTATTAGCATTAAAATATAAGAAAAGGAATGCTTATAATTACCTTTTAAGACATCCGGACAATTGCCACCCACGGGAGCTGTATCATCGCCGCAAAGGCAACGCAACTTGTAGTCGTTCGGATCCTTGACGCAGCTGGTGCGATCTATCGCCGTACAGTCATCATGGGCGGAGCACTCGCGTCCTTTCACTGCAAAAGGATAACAAGGCAAATCAGCAGGTAGGGGGTAGGGGCAAGAGTAAACAATTGGACTATCAGTTTGTTTGACTAATTGCCTGCTAATTGTGTGACTACCATGGTCCTGACCCGACCCACTGCCGACACAAATCATCGGTTTGCCGGCCTCTCTGCACACAATCCTGTTTGCCAACTCCAATCACAATCCTATTACCAGGCCCGAGCCCACTCCTAATGTCCCTGATTTGTGTGGAGCGTGGGTTGTCATTGCACTTGAGTGACTTGTTTGATCAATGCTCGATTTGTGTATTAGTACTGTGTTCTGTGTCGTGTCATCCAATTCATTGCTGGCTCTTTGCCATAATTATTATTCCATTTATCTGTGGGCGGTTGCTCCAAAGTCAATCGAATGACAAATGTTTGGCTCAAGTCAACTTTAATTAATGCCTTTCATACTATTAGCATATATTAAAGTGTCTTAATTAGCGATTGATTATGGATCATAACGAATATTTTGAGTTCTTTGATTATTTATGTTCAATAGAGTTGAGTAAATATGATTAAAGCTTTTGTAAAATCATCAGAACGTTGGATATTAAAGCATTTTAGAACAATTATCTTAGAAGCCTTAACTGAATGTTTCAAGAGCTTTAAAATATTTTTTCCTAATAGTGATTGCCAAAGCCTATTTCATTTAAAGATTGTTCTTATTTATAATTACATTTTACTACACTTTTTAAGAATCTTAATGTTTGTTGCATGTCTAAACTAGTAAAACGGATAAAAAAACTATGCTAATCGATTCAAAGTCAATTTAAATTCATTATATAAAGATCTTGAGATAATTCAAAGCACTGTTAAATCAGTACAACATAAATTATTTTTTATAATATTAATAGATGTAAATTCGTTTAAATTAACATTCCATCTAAACAAGAAAGAAGTAATTCAAGTGAAATAATATATTTTATAAATAAAATTAAGTACCTTAAGTCTTCAAGTTTTTTTTTTTTCAAAATTTATTCAAAAACTGTAGCCATGCTTCACGGAATAATTAACCCCTACAAATTCTCAGGTAGTGAAATTTTTGATGGTGAATGTAAAAGTGTCAGAAACAGCTCTTGACCTTGCCAACCTGGACTTCGATTTGATTTTTTATGGCCAACCCCCAAGGGGACCTGGTCGAGGGCTTTGCTTACCCACTGGAAGGTGCGTGGGCGGCGGCCCGTTGTTGGTCTTGCCGAAGGTGGTCAGTGCCGTGGAGCTGACCCCGAAGAGGATGATGAAGATGCCGAAGAGCATGGTCAGGCTGCCGCATTGTGTGAAGCGCTTCAGGGGCTGCATTGTGGAGCGAGGGTGTTGGCTGGGAAATTAATCGGGTTTCGGGTCGAGATTTTGAGACCAAGATAGAGATGGAGCCGCTGCTGCTCTCCCCGGAGACGATGGTAATTCGGGTGTTATGTAAAATTCACGCGGATTACCGACGACTTTCTCACGCACTTTGCAAGCTCAAGAACTGCCCAAAAGGCTTTAAATCGGTTTCCCTAAAGTCTTTGTTTTCCTTTACTGGTTTCGCAAGGTAATTTTATGCAAATTTTCACACCGAAATTGTTTCCGTTTTGGAAAGAAAGTCCGTTGCAAAATAAAACCGCACGAAAGGCGTCACTCCGACAGAAATCTCCTCAACTGTGTGAGTATTTGGGGTACTTGGTTCGCTTGTATCCTTCTCGATGGGGTCCTGAGGTCCCGAGGTCTAGAGGTCTCGAGGTCTTGAGGTCTTGAGACGGTAGCTCCAACCAGTCGCCTGCGCGTTCGAAATGCAAGTGAAGAATTCGCGGCGCACACGGAGCTTAAGTTGGGGCGACGTCGCTGCTGACTCGCTGGGCTACTTGGCGCTCGCGCACACCATCGCCACCGACAACCCACACACACACACACATGCCCAGTAAGGCTCACACCCTGGCACCTGCCCATCGTCTTCCTTGAAGCACCCCCGAAGCCCCCCGCAACTGCTCATCAGAGAAGCGAACCCCATTCCCAAAAGTCAGCCAAGTCCATGGCGTTACCTAGATACTCTTTGCCGAGGGAATTATAAATAAAATGTATAGTTATGAATTTGTATTGAATTTATTTCAATTTGTCCAACCAAGCTAACTGGAAACTAGTAAGAAAATCTTTATTACTTATTTACGATATTATATTCATTACACATGGATAAAAGTGTATTCTAGATAATCAGTTTTCTCTAAGTTGTGCACATTAATTTGTCTAAGTACGTCATCGAACTTGTTTTAATTATCAGATATTTTGGCAAAATACAAATTGGAAGCAAGTAAATCCATGAAATTTGACTCAATCTCAGCTATCTTGAGTTTTGCACAAAAAAACACAATTATTTTTACGCACTATCCAACTAAAGATGAGCTTAAATAATTTCACATATTCCAGGGCATCCATAAAATCCGGAGAGTAAGTCACCTGCCTCTGCCTGCATGCATAATTAAGAGATCCCCCGGGCCGGCGAAGGGTATATTCCACTACATTAATGCTCCGCTTGGATGAGAGGAGGCGGGCAGATTTTGAACTTGCCTAGCGGCTGGATGGCTCCGTATAATTTTTGGGCGGGCTGGATGGATGGGTTCGGCATATATTGTTGTATGGTAAGCAAGCTCCGACTGCGACTCCGACGCACTTGTAACTGCCTCGTCGTTTCGTGAGCGGGTTTTGGTTAACGAAGATGGATTTTTACCTGTAGTTGGTAGTTGTTTAGCTTTGGCTTTGCCTTCGTGCAGTAATATGTGGTTGTTGCTTTCGTTGATAGTGGTGGTGGTAGCAGCGACCTCGTCTCGTCCTCGTCTTGCCCTACGGTGTGGTGGTGTGCTGTGTGTGTGTGCTGTAATAATGACGGAGGCATTAGAGCCATTGCATAGCCTACTTTTTGGGGCCCGCAGAGTTTTGGCTCCAACAATAAAGTGTAACATTAGCACGCACCAAAAACAACAACAAAAACTGGTTAGTCAAAGGCAAATAGTTATTTTGGCCATTATTCCACGTCGCCTTCGCCCTTACATGCTGTCTACAACACTGAGCTACAGGGTGACATTATTTAGTTGTATCTAATTTATATCCCATTTAAATCTCATTTCTTAACATCTTCTTAGCAATTAACGTGGACAAAGTTTAAGTAAGCTAGTTATATCTAAGCATTACCTCTCAAAACATATTAAAACTATATTAGCTTTCAATGACACGATTTATCCTTGTGAGTCTTAAGTTGACCAAAAAATTAAAACTAGTAACATAAAGAAAACACTTTCTTTTGTAGTCCAGTGTTAGTTTTCTCCGGGTGGTGGTGCATGGCCCTAATTACGTTTCTGGAAGTGCCCAGATGAGTGGGTTGCTTGTTGCTTACTACTTTCAGCTTTCAACTTGCAGCACAACTGAAATCGCAAAATATCCGCACACCAAAAAGGTTGCAAGCCACGCCCCCAGGCCAATTTCACAAATCACTATTTAGGTGGATATATCGAACAGCCAAAAAACAGAAAACAAAACGGATGCGGATACGGAACTTTCGGCCATGTCTGCCGTTGTCTCTCAAGCCTCCCCCTAGCCCCCTCTTCTCTTCCAAACTGCATGTTACCTCAAAAAGGAACACCTTGAGGTCAAAGTGAACCTCAGGTAAAGCTCGGCTCTGACATGAAACATTTGCCCAATTTGCTTACACAAATTCCATTCGTTTATTTTTGGCCCTTTTTCCGATTGTGGAAAATGTCAAGCTCCGTGGAGGCAGGCTCCTTATCTGCCGCCGCGATCGCCTTATAAACGATTGTTTTAATCGCTGCGACAGCATAAACAATTTTCCCTTAACTAAACGCGCGCCATCGCAGCGAATTCATTTGGCACACGCACATGGCGAACGGAAGGGCTTTCCAGAAAATATTCACACAAATATCGGTGGGATATAAGTAATTAGGATACGTTTCTTTTCGGGTTCAAGGACCATGGGTGTGAAAGCATCATCATGTACAGGGTTTCTTATGTTTAGTTTCTTAAGAATTAAAGCGTGAATAAATGTAGCTTAGCTTAATTTTAAGTCTTGAAATTAATTTAAAAATTTTATATAGGCAATTGCCTTATAGTTGTTTTTCAACTTTACATATATTACTTTGCGAGTATTGTTACGTTATATTTTACATTACATCGTCGGTAATTAAAAAAATGTATCTTTTCTTTATTTTTTATTTTATTTTCTCTCTCTTTTTACGATGACATTAATGAATGCGACTTAACGATGATTTATTCCACAGTAGCGTTTACGCAAATCCTACGAAACGGCGTCATTTATGCAATACACAACTTGAAATACTTGTAAGTAAAAATAAATTTATTTAATTATTATTTAGGCGAGATGGCATGCCGGCAGCTCGATTTAATTCGCCATGCGGCAAAGTCTGATATTTATTTCTTGACATTATTGATAAATGTTCTTGAGCACAGCACAGGAACGGAAAACGAGCAGGAAAATTATATAGAAAACTCACGAAATCTTTCACCCAAATCAGAGAGACTGCAGCGAATCGGAGGCACCGCCTAGGGAGTTTCCCGCGTAAAAGCTTCGTCCCTTCAAGAGGCGATTGTAATTAAAGAACTAATTCCCTTTCAACAATCTGGGCGTCATGTTTTTGGTCTTAACTGATGATTAATTAGTGCGGCAACTGTAGAATTTCTCCGTCTAGGGGCCGAACCCGGCGATATATAATTTTCTCACGAAATCTCATCGCGGTGTACTCATGCCTAGAGGTCATCATATTTCTGCTGATTATTACTGCGAGTCCGGCCCCATTCCGCATTAGGTTCTTGAAAAAATGCCAATTTAGGTCCTTTAATTCCATATTATGACCACGTCTAATTGCACACACACATGGAGGGGCGCAGAGACTGTGCCCCGCATGCAAGTTTGTTTTCGTGCGTTCCTCGACATGCACACACCAGCAACCCCGAAAAGGTGGCCAAGGAGGAGCCCTCGGTGAAGTCCGGAGGAGGCCAACTTACACTGCTGCCATCGAGAGTTGCATGCAGGACGATGGCCAATACTGGCTACTTGTTATAGCCTTGTCTCTGGGCCAACACTTGACCAAATAACCTTTCCATGACTTTCCCAATTTATCATTCTCCATTCCACTCGACCGCTAAATGCAGGCAAATGCATGCCAAATATATGTACGTATTCACATATGTACATATATGTGTGCGGATTGCTTCAAGTTCATTTGTTAATGCATACCTTGATTTTAGCAAGCGAGGCGACACTTTTAGGGGACATTTTTCGGTCTGCCTTCGCCTTCGCCTCTGACTTTGACTCGGACCGCTGGCCGTTACGTATACGCAGTGAGGTCTGCCCCCAAGAGCAAACAGCCCAATTCGCATGTCATGTTGGCCGGTCTGAAAAGAAACAACTCCGAGCGGCTGAAAACATAAAAATAACTGCGAAATGCTAAAGCTCACGAACTTATTATAATAACTCATGCGTGGTTAGGTTAAGACGTCATGGCCTAAGCCGAAGAGTCCTTTGGGGGATTATAATTAAGCAACTGTACGATGTGGTAGTAAAAAAATATAGGATTAACAAGGGAAATAAGGCTGTAAGCTATAAATTTAAAAATATATATTTAATTGCGCTCTGGGCAAACACTATAACTGAGTTCTTAGCAAGGTTATTAAATTTACAATTAGTGTTTGAAACGAGTTTCTAAATTCATTTTTTAACTCAATGCAAGCCATATTTAAAACTGTTTCATGCGTTGCTTTACTTTAAATATGCACTAAAGTAAATATGACAAAGCACTTTTCAGTTTAGACTTTATTAGTCAAAGAATATGCCTTATATTGCATTCAATAATTACAAAATAACAACACAGCAGTAGAACGAAACTCTCTAAATGCATATGAACAGCCCCAAAGCACATAAAACCCTGTTTATGGAGCTATTAACTGGGCCCGAACAAGTAGCACGTCGAGACCACATCGCTACACCTGGCAGTGAACAACCTACATATAGTCTATAGACTATATTATAACCCGAAAAAACTCCGGATTCCCATTTAATTTTGATGAAACATGACGATTCCATTGACCTATCTAAAGGCGAAACCCAAAAACTCATTAGTGGCGGCGTCATCGTCGTCGGACGTTATTCATTACTCACCCAAAGTTTTTTTTTGGGGAAGGCAAGGGGTGGTACAGTGCCCGACAAATATGCAAATTTACGCACATCAAAAAGTGAAAGTTCTACTAGAAGGGACCATAAAACCCGAGAGCCCAGTAATGGAATGGAGTGTACTAGGACGAAAAAAAATCAATGCAGGCCAGCGGAGCAATGTGGTCAGTAGAAAGAGATGCCTTCAGCGCTGGAGAAGGTCCTGGAGGAGTCGGAGGGGCTCCGGCTTCCCGCGGGTGGAACACGATTAAACCGCACTGATTATGGGTTACGACCATTTCTTATGGTGGCCCAAAAGCGCCAAAAACTTCTTCAACAAAATTGCCCCAGCCGAGTCCTCGGCCATTGATGACGGCTCCGTTGCACGCAATCCATGACATCACCAACGTGGTCGGTCGGGCCTAGTTCGGGCTATCGTATCAAAATATTGCACCTCCCAAACTGACTGAATTATTGGGTTTTTTTAATTATTGAATGAGTCAGTTGGGGAAGAAGTCCATAATTGAAACTCTGCAAGGTCATCTCGCAAACGTTACTTTTATTTATGCATTTAAAACTACAATTATTGTCCAAAGGGAAAGGTTCTTCAAAATCAATTTTCTGGCTTCATTACAAATTTCTTTATAAAATCCACCACAAGAACTAGTATATAATATATAGCAATACTTTCCTGAAATTACTAAATCTTTAGAGGCTTTAATTTATTATCAACTGACACATAAAACACACACCATTTTAAGCAAAAATATATTACATGAAACTATCTACAAATCATAAAACTTCTGCTTTGTAAAATCGTTATGAAACTTACCTGTTATAAAAACTAAAACTATACAAATCTAATGTATGGCAAAAGCTGCCAATTCTTTTGATATCTGAAGACAAAGACTTAAAAGTTGGTCTAAAAAAAGGTAATTCAGTATAAGTTTGGGTAATCTAATCGATAAATAATTTTGACAGCTACATGCACTGCATATCAACTGATACATAAGACATACGCCATTTTAAGCAAAAATAGATTACATAAAACTATCTATAAATCATAAAAACAGGAAACTTCTGCGTTGTAAAAATTGACTAATCTGTTATTAAAACATAACTTTCTAAGCTAATATTACTCGCAAAATGTATGGCAAAAGCTGCTGTACTTAAAAGTTGGTATAAAAAAGTTAGTTCAGATTAGTTTGGGTAATCTAATCGATATATAATCCTGACAGCTACATGCACTGCCAGTGCAGGCAGTCAAGTGCTTCGAAATGAAAAAGTTCTGAAAACCGTGTAAAGCGAGATAAGACGGTTAAGGAACCCCAACATGCAGTGCAGTGCACCCTTCCACAGTAGTTCCACCTTCCATCATGGGCATTAGCTTCAGCAAAATGTTTATTTGTTTGTTTCGCATTTTATCGCGGCACGTGTCCCGAATTTACTCGAAATGGGTAACTTCCGCTCCCATGAATGAAAAATTACTTACCACGTCTAAACACCAGCTCCTTCTTTGTGGTCAGAGCTATGGCTTTCATGGATTTTCAATTTTCGCACCTCCACTGCGGCTCCGAGACCTGAAACTGCGCCTAATCTATGACTAATTATCAGAGCAACTTAAACGTTAACGCAAGTCAATGTACCATAAAAGGAGGTTAATTCTATGCAATTTCGCAAGGAGCCCGTGATTACTTTTCCTTCAAGCAGACGTATTAATTACAAACCGTAGTACATTAGGGCCCTCGAACAGGCTCAGAGTTCGTAATGCTAATTATAAGAAATTAGAGTGAGCCAAACCAATCCTTTCTAGAGTTGCCAATCAATCTGCTCAAAAAATAAAGAAAAATACTTTTTAACATAGTATTAAAATAACTTAAATTAGAAGTTTAATAATATTTTCCAGGTATTCTAATACTCTAGGCCTTTGAAAAGTTAAAGTTACAATATAAAGGCGTCACTGTATTTCCTTTTATACCTTAAAAAATGTTTAGAATTATCATCATCCATATTAAAGCTTCAACTTGGAACTAAGTTGCAATATTAGTCCTTCCAAGTCATCAGTAGGCTCATATACAAAACAAAAAAAAAAACAAACAATAACACAAACTATAGGGCGAACATTAGATTGTATATTTTATAGGTATTTTGTAAGATAACATTTGACCACGACTTGCGCTTGAAATACATACTCTCTCAGTTTGAGAGCTGTGAGTTGGAGAGGTTCGAACTATGTTCCGAATCCGAAGAGGGACCCGGATGTGAAGGCGCTTGCTGCTGATGCGACTGTGCCTGTTGTGACTGTGTTTGCTGCTGGGTGTGGGAATGGGGATGGTGCGGTGGCTGCTTAGACTGGATGGCAGTGCCAGACTCGTAGTTGATGCGTATCCATTGGCCCTCAGTGTTCTCCTTCCACAGCGTGACATTGTTATCGCCCCCAGTGACGGCCAAAATGTTGCCGGTGGTGGACCAGGAGACGCTCCACACAGCATCCTCGAATGTGTGCAGCACACTGGAAGTCCACTGTGTCAGATCTGCATTGCTGCTCCACACGATCACGTGGCGATCCTGGGAGGCTGTAGCGATCTGCGACCGATGCAGGCCAATTGATGGCGCCCAGGCCACATCACGCACCCAATCGGAATGGGCCTCCAGGCGCTGCTCCTCCACCCAGCGATCGTTCTCTTCGCGCCAGATCTTCACCAGGTTATCGCATCCACCGCTTACCAGACGCTTCACGGCCGTCGAACGCGAGGTAACGCGCTGATCAAAGGCCGGATCCGGAGCCTGGGCTGGGCACCACGAAATCGCATTCACCCCAATGGTATGAGCATTCGGAATCTTCTTGGCGTCCCACACACCATAATCTGTGTTGCAGGTGAGCACCGAAATGGAACCATCCGAACTGGCGCAGGCCAGCACCAAGCCGTATTCAGATGGGCCAAAATCCACCGAGTTTACAGAGGAGTCGTGGTTGCTGTATTCGTAGCTGAAATGTGGCAAGCACAAAGATTAGATGTGTGGCAGCCATTGATTGATAACAGCATAAATATACATATGTCCCACATATGTTTGTTTATGCAAGTATGGGTGAGTGTGTGTTGTACCCTTTACCAAAGTATGATTAGCTGATAAAAATGGAAAGTTATGTCAATAAGAGAATTAAGTACTTTACGTATAGAGTTTCAAGTTAGTGAAATCTTTTGGAGCAATGTTCTTCTAGATTGGTAAATTTCATTAGTATCGTAAACCGTTAATGAAACAAATTTTGATCAATGGGTATCCCGTAGTCGTTGCTCCCCTCTGACTGTGTCACCCGTTTGTGTGAGCGAGGTTGCTGCTGATGTGTGCGTGACTTTACTCACAGCTTGGTCCAATCGCGGGGCGTTGTAGACTTCCAGACGATCACCTTGCGGTCGTAGGAGCATGAGGCCAGGATGTTCCCGAACTTTGGATGGGCCCATGCCACCTGCCACACTGGTCCCTGGTGGCCTTTGAGCTCCGCCAGCGCCTTGTTGTTCTTGCGCGAGTGGAAGATTCGGACGCTGCCGTCCGAGGAGCAGGTGGCCAGCAGCAGGCCGTAGAAGTCCAGGGCAGCGTGGTGGACCATGTCCTCATGCTCGGTGTCGATTTCCTGCAGCAGGCTCACCATGTTGCTACAATTCGTTAGTCCAGTCGCCAAATAAATTAAATAAATGCAAGTCGTGTTTTTTTCCGGCGCTTGACGTGGAACTAGAGCTGCAACAACACCGATATCTCCATCGATACTATCGGTAGCGTCAAAATGCGATGCATCGATTATTAACTAATGTTGAGTTTTGAATATAAAGCATTATTCACGTTTTAATAAAAAAAAATTAAAAATGTATTTATTTATAATATATTTATAATAAATTTAAATTGTCTTTTCTGCAGCAATTGAGAAAATACTTGTTTGCGTTGCCAGACTCACAGAGAATATTCTATATTAATATTACTTCGGTAACGGAGAAGACCTCCAGTGCTTACGAAAAATTGTCAAATCAGGCTCCCGTCCCTATTTTTCTGTGGGAGAAACATCGAAAAAACATCAAGAAAGACTTTAGAACAGCTCTAGAACAGTCAGCTAAAAGAGCTGCCAGACTAATGAAGAGGAACAAACAAGAAACAGGGTGCCTATGGTAAATTATACAAGTCTAACAAGCGAGCACCAGGGGCGCTAAAGTATATGTAGAAGTGGAAGTGGCTATTACTTCTCTATGCAAAAGTTATTCTGTTAACTTTCATAAGTACAAAAATTATATAGGGAAGTGATTAAAATATCAGTTAAATTTTTAAACCCTTTTATATCAATCTGATAAAACCAAAAATATTTATTTTCAATTAATTTGTTCACCAATTTTAAAATGTACATTTAAATTTAAAAAATATACAAATATACAAATAGACAATTTTTTAAAGTTAAGGAAAAATAATTATCAACTAAGCTAAACAAAAAATTTTATTTGTAATATCAATAGACACATTTATGGAAAGATAAATTAATTTGAGATCAATTAATACAAGATACATTTATTGAAAGATAAATTAATTTGTGATCAATTAATACAGTTTCACCAAAAATTAATACATAAGGGAGATTCGAGTTGGCTTCGACTTTGAATAGGATCCGCATCCTTAATTCGAAAAATTCCCACCAGCTACAAACACATGAGCGTATACCCGCCCTACTTGTCACTGCTGACGTCTAAATATTATTCCCAATTAAAGTCATCGAGCGCCTTAGGTGGCCCATTCACAGCCCACAACCAGTAACCACCCACTTCCACTCCCACTGTCACAGCCTCCCTTTCCACTTCCTTTCCCTGTGCCAAGTATTGTCCTTTGCCAAGTATTGTCCATGTATTGTCATGTATAAGTATATAGCCCAGCACTTCCTTCGTTGTTTGTTGCCTATTATTAAAATAATTATTTCAATAAAGGGGGAAAAAGAAAAGCACAAAACGGCCCGCAACAATGGGAAGCGACAGCCACACCACCCACCCCACCCCACTCACTCGTCCTCTCGAGCAAACCCCCTTCGTCAGCACAAAATCTCTGCGGCGCACACTCACGTGGGGAAAGCGAGCGCGAGAGAGAAAGAGAAAAGGGAGAGAGACTTCCAGCCGGCTCTCTAGTCGCTCGTTGCTTTCTGAGTGGAACAACAGCCGCCATTATGTTTTAGCCACCCCACACCAACCACCGCCCACTCTCTGGCCCACTGTGTATATCCTTCTGTTTATTGCCTGCCCATTGTCGAGTGGTTTTTCTCCGGGATGTCCTCGCAAACGTATGCTTTAGCCAAACACTGCCGTTTAAACTTGAAAGCTTCAACAGAAACAGGAGTTAAAAAAAAAACAAAAGGGACATGTCCTGCTGCGAGGATACGTCGAGGTTGGATTATAATGAGCGTGGCGGTCGCGTGGCTGTCAAACATTCCGCATCATTTGCCATAGCCGCAAGGCGTATTTCACACGACAGAGATGAAAAGCCAAGACCGGCGACAAATTGAGCGGCAAATCAAGTGAGTTTTCCACACAGCATCCGGGAAATTTCGAACGGAAATGTAGTGCAAACTTACCGTCGGAAAAGACCTGGCGCATTTTCAAATTCGATGTGGTCAGCCGGATGACGGAGGCCTTGTCCAGATGCGAATTATCGCCGCTGGCAGCGGCAGTAATTTGGCCAATTCACAGAACTCTGTGTTTTCCTTTTCACGTCGCGTGCGAGCCGCATTTTTGCTTTTCTCCTTCATGGCACACGTTTTGGCTATATCTGCAAGAGATCAAAAACACATAGAGTTAGTACTGGCCCAAGAATTACTCGTTAAAAATGTCTAAGAACCGACCATGCAATCTACTCTCATAACAGTCCTTGCGCACTCTGCGATGGTTGTCATGTTTCAGTTTTCTTTTTGTGTTCTGTCTTAAATCCTTGCTAAACAGTAGTCCTGTGAGCTGTAGCTCATATCCCTGCAATCACCTGTTTGCAACTGAGATGCTTTTCTCCCAGCCAAGCAGTTTTAACAGTTTCCGAGCAGAGATCCTGAAAAGGATCCCGCTGTTCCTACCTGATCTAGGGAAAGCACGCCATTGGCTGAGATGAGTTCTACCTGTCTACCTGTCAGGGCAATTGACTTTCGCAATGTAACTAATTCGGAAAGATCCTCAAGAGAGAATGGCAACGTATTGGATGACGTTGGTGCCATCTCACTCGACCTGACCTCTGCATTCAACAGGTTGACTCTGGCCCACCACAGGAGTTGACTTTTATCTACATACATATTATTCGATTATGTGTCTCTGTAGCACATAAAACACAAATGATGACACGCACACACAGGAGGAGCGGTTAGGAGGTTAGGACTATATACCATACATTTGGGATGACCCACAGTCAGCATCTTGCCATTGATAGTTTTCGAACGTGATTTTGGCGCAGTTTTGCCAAAATCCGAATCATGCGAACTCCTGCTGCGCTTCGCTTCCCATTGAGTCGCTTTCCTTTGGAGCTTAAAGACTTGGTTGTACTACAAGGAATTTGCACTTCAATTCAGCTTATTGACACAGGACACGTATTTTTAATGCAGTTTATAATGCACATATCTTCCTATTAAATTGGACACAATGATGATCGATATTTCCCATTACAAAACGTTTAAGAATTGCAATATATTATATTCGTTAGCTTACTACTTTCGGAGTTTAATAAGTCCTCAAAAAATACTTGATATATCACTAAGAAAATTATTCACTTTATATCCGCGATTAGCTTATATCTGATTTCTATGCCAACTTGACCATACACAATGGCACTATACAAAGACAAATTGGTAAAAGTTTAAAAATAAAGTCAACACAAATCTTCACACTGAACTTGAACTACAGAGCTGTGGTGCGCAGGGAGTGACCCGGAGGAAGACGCTCCGTAGGGACGGCAGGTTGGATGTTTCCCACGCTGCGGACAGCAGTGGGAACTGGAGAGTCCATAAAGCCATTAACGAGACACTGGACGCTGGGCCGATGCTAATGTGGGTGTTGCGGGTCCGGCGCTGTTCTTCCTTCCTTCTTCCGATCCCAGGTCGGATCCGGTCATGCGGCGAGTGGTGCCGCTACTTTCCCATAAGGACGACGACGGGCCACAGGTATGGTAAAACAGTATGCTAAAAATACTCGGTTTCCGTTCGGTTCTCACGCCAGAGCATAGGGATCCGGGAATTTCCAATCGGCCAATTGATAACCAGACGGGGAAAAACGGCAAAAAAAGCAGTACATGTCCTGGAAGTGTGAGAAACTTCCTGTTAGTCTCCGAGATTCCCAGGCACCTTCGGAGGTGGCCTATCAGGTGAAAAGAGGAAAACTGCGATACGCTTTAAATGTGCATAACATATGCCAAGGCCAAAGCGAAAATAGCTATGAAAAAGAGTACAAAACATACGGAATTTAAATACATTAAATGAAATACTAAAAATTAAACACATTAAATTTTTATAACCAAATTCATTAAATTAAGAACTTTAAACATAATAATGTATGCTTATACTTTAAATAAAATAAGCTATTTTTTATCAGCATAATCAAGGGCTCAAAAATTGACAATAGCGTTATCTACAAAAATTTATTTCTTTCATGATGTTAAAATGTTAGGATAGCAGAAAAAAATGTCGTTTTATTTTGCGAATAAAAATTATTGTGTTGGTCGCGCAGTCTTTTATTTTCTATGAAAAAGTGGCGAATACTAAAACAGGACTGCAGAATGGCTTAAAAACTCCCGTAAAAGGGCGTTGCCAGACTTATAAAAGACCACTGAAAAGGGTGACTATGGTACAAGTCCGACGAACGAACACTAGGAGCGCTAAAAGCATTTATTTATGTATTTTTGTAGAATAGCATGTAAAAAGGTTAACATAATAGTTCAAGCCAGATTTATTCCCAGACCTTATATTTATTATCTAATCTAAGTTATACTGAGTAACAATTTTCAGTCCTTTTCTTTATTATATTTTCCTATTTGTGTTAAATTTAATTTGTAGGGTATTAAAATATGAGACAGAAGATTTCAATGTTCAAGTTTTTATTTGATGAACTCAGTTTTAATATAGCCATTTTGTTTATTACTTTAGAATAAAGTAATCTTGTCGTCAGATTACTGATGGGTAAATGTGGAGGAGATGGGTAAATGTGGAGGGATATGCAAAAATGTGAATGTAAATGTTAAATGTTTTCATACTCTTGCAAGGTATTATAATTTAGTCAGAAGTTTGTAAAGCAGTGGAGACATTTCCGACCCTATAAAGTATATACATATATTCCTGATTAGCATCAAAAGCCGAGTCGATTTAGCCAAGTCCGTCGGTTCTTCCGTCCGTTTCTATGCAAACTATGTCTCAGTTTTAAAGCTATCTGAATTAAATTGTGCAGTTAGTCTTCGGGGTGCCAAAGTTATTTTCCTTTCTTGTTTTTTTTTTTAAATAAATAAATATTAATTATATTGTATTATTTATTATTTAATGGATACCATTATATCGCTGTACGCTATTGCCTTAAATTAAACTCTTGTGCTTATTGTTCACCCACATAATAATTTATTTATTCAAATTAGAAAAATTTGCGATAATAGTTAATGTTACATTTACAATTATTTACTTATGAAGATCATATTCGATATCTGCATAGTGGAGCGGCCCCTTCACTATTTACAAATAATTTTGTGTTTTTTAATATTTACATAGACATAGTGATCGATCGTATATTGTCTTACGATCTTGGGATCATGTATATAATTATTTATAGGCATAAAGAATAAGTATGTGCAATTGAATTAAAGTTAGTTTTTTTATGAACATTTTACAGTTAATTCTTAGGGCTAACATCTATCATAGAATTTGTATTTGCTCGCTGCGTTTTGTTAACAAGGATTTCTCCGATTTTCATTCAGTATTCTTTCTGCCTGTGTCGAAAGCAGGGAGGGGAAACTTTTTTTTAATAAATAAGAAAAACTGCGAACAGAAAGATAGAGCAACTTTTCGCAGATTTTGTGGCTCAGCCACATATTACATTTGGAACTCGCGGACACGACGTGGTGTCCGGCGGAGGGGCGGGGGCAGTCGACGCGTTTGCTGGCATGCTCCATTGTTTTAGAAACAACAACAACAACAACAGTAACAACAACAAAAGCAGACTGCTGCTAATGCACAAAATCGTTGGGTATGTAGTGCTGCGGCTCCACGATCACGCTAGTGTAATGCGGCGTTGCCACCACCGCTGCCGCCGCAGCAGCGGCATTAACTGTCTTAAAGCTCTCTGCAAAATCACTGACAACCCTCTGCTGCTGTTGTTGCTGCTGCTGCTGCTGCTGGTGGGGCATTGCGTACTGTTGCTGCTGGTATTGCTGCTGTTGCGTCTGCAATCGCTGCTGCTGCTGCTGCTGCTGCTGTTGCAGATGCTGGTGCTCCATCAGATGTTGCTGCTGCTGCTGCTGTTGCTGCGAACTATTGTCCGAAAAGTAGCTCAGCTCGAACGTGTGGCTCAGATCGCTGTATGTCGTCTGCGACGGCGAGGTGCCATTCACAATGGAGGCATTTCCGGTGGACAGCTGACGATCGCTCTCCGAGCTGCTGGAACAGCTGTTCGAGTTGGCCGAGAAGGGGCGTATCATCGAGGTGGCCACATCCACGGTGGCATCGTAGTCATAATAATAGTGGTTATTATTGTTGTAGTACAGGTTTCCCGTGGTGGTGTCCGGATATTGCATTTCCGTGGAGTAAACACCCGAGGAGGAGGCCGATGCGCTGGAGCCGCCGCCTGCACTGGAGGCGGTGCCACCGCCCACACTGCTGGTCGAGCTGACCACAAGGTCGTTGAGCGGCGGATAGAGCTGGGTGTAGCTCAGGCTGTCGTGATCCATGCTGGCGGACTGCTGCTGCATCTGGTGGTGGTGCCAGGCGCCATTGTTATTATTGTTACTGCTATTGTTCGTCGCCGATGGCACGGGAGTGACGGCATTGGGCGGCTGCAACGGCAATTCAGGCTCAAAGTAGGGATCCAGTTTCGGACTGGCACTCAGGGCCAGGCTAACAGGCGTTCCCGGACCCACCGCCTGTCCCCCAGTGGCCACCGCGCACTGTGGCTGCTGCTGCTGCTGCCCCACAACCACCACAACCGGTGGCTGCTGTTGCTGCTGGGGAACCGCCTGTGCCGCCGCCGCCGCTGCCGCTGCCGCTTGGGCCGCCTGGGCCTGTGCCGCCGCAGCTGCCGCCGCTTGGGCCGCCGGCGAAATGGGCTCCCGCTTGACCACTCCGGTCTGAATCTCGTTCAGGACCAAGTCTTTCACCTCTCGTTCGCTCAGCACATAGTTGACGCTCACGATGAACACTTCGCGGGAGGACCGCGAGTTGTGCACCAAGGTGGCGTACGACTGCACCCACACCCAGCCGCCGCCCTTGGTCAGGAAGCGATAGTATTTGGTGGTAACTTGTCCTTTGTACAGCACTAAAGAGGAAATAAGAAAGGAGCAAGGTTTAGCATCGAATAGAAGTATTTTTCCCATTCAAAATAAGTTTCTTACGGATTTGATGGGAGCAGCGCATGGCCATTATGTCCGAGGCGTGGATGTACTGATACAGCGTCTTCTCGATGAGGTCCTGCGGTTCATATCCGGTTAGCTGCGATACGCTGTAAGCAAATAAACAAGATGAGTAAGGGGTCGCGGTATCCTTCTCGCAGTGAGCAAACAGTGAATGGTCATTGGTGTTGCCTCCGCTATTGGATTTTGTTTCTTTTATTTTATTTAGCCTGGTTACTTTTGTCAACGCCAATTCAATTATGCAGAAACAACAAAAAAAACGGCGCAATGGGGCTGCTTTCCCTAATACTTTTGGGGGTTGCTCGGCACAACGGCTGGAAGGGCGTCAGAATGGGATGGCTATAGGCTATAGCATCATGAGGGTAATTGAGTGACAATAATGTCAGACAAAGTGGGCTGGTTTTTCGGTTCGCATCGAGTCCTTTTCCCCTCGACACCCACACACACACACGCACTTGGGAAAGCACAGACAAAGGAAAATCAAGCTCAAGAGGGAAATGATTTGTTTTCCTTTTAGTCATGTCGTCCCGTCTTGCTTACATTTCCTTTTTTTCATATTCCTTTCTTCATTCTTTTTTTGTTTAAAGTACTTTGAAAGCATTATCTTTTTAGGGGCGGTTGCTGGTATGTTTTTTATCGTGGTGTAAAAAAAGGAATTCGGCGGCCCTTTTAAATATTTGTCTAGTGTCGAATGTACGGCAAACAGGCAAAGGATACTTGAAGAATATTTCTGATACAAGTTAAAAAACAGTGAGATTGCTCTTTACAAAATGTTAAATTTTAACCCCAATTATTTAGTTTCTTAAATGTCTTCTCATCCTGCTTAAATTTTAATTTAGTTTCTGATTGTGAGGTATTAAAACTAATTTTTCTAAAACTCCACTTACCGTGCATCGAAAAATATTAGCTTCATGTCCAGCTTGGCCCGGAACATGAACATATTCTGGTGCAACTTGATTTCCGTAATGGCAGAGGAAGGCAGCGAGTGTCCGACGGCCACCAGGCCGAGATTCTGGATAAGGCTACCCTGACCATCCCCACAATCGGGATATATCCGAGCCTTTAGATAACCGGAGCAGTGTATCACCTATAAAAAGACAGATTATCTTTTAGTTTAAATATGGTTTATAATAAATTATTTCTAAGTCTTGACGTTATAACGATTAAATATACAAACAACTTTCTTAAATTAGTAAACAATACTTATATTATGTTAACATTTTATTAAATCAAGTAAGAGCTGTTTAAAGTCCAAGTATTTACGTTACATTATCCTAAAAATGTATAATTTTTAAATAAAGGTTCCAATTTATGTGTCCTACCTTAAAACCGGAAGTGGTGAGGCCAGCATTCCTCTTGGCCAGCACGCACTTCATGCGCAGGAAGAAGGTCTTCTCGATTTCAATGGTGTGCGAGCCACGATCGTGGCCATAGGCGGATGGGTGCTGGACGCCATTGGGACTGCCTATGGGCGTGTGCGTCTGGGCGAGCTGTAGGGAGTTGAGAAAGGCAGCCTGTGGCGTGAGTACATTGACAGTGTGGGTTGGAAAGAGACCAGAGTCCAGCGAAAGAAAGAGAGAGAGAGCGAGAGCAAGAGGGAAAGGGCCAACATTTAAAATGTGCCACAGATTTTCTATCTTTTATATCTATATTATATATCTTATACTCACTGGATGCTGGTTGATGTGTGGATGCAGCGACAAAATGGCATTCATCTCGTCCTGATCGTAGTTGTGAATGTACTCGAATATCGAGTTGCCCGTCAGCTCAACCTGGTTAAATAAATGAGGTATGATTAGAAAATATAATATATAGATCGTTAGATTGTTATATCCTGATATGTTTAATATCCACAAACAGCCAAGTCGAAATAGCATTATGAGTTAGAGAGACTATATTTTGAAAAGAGGCCTTAATACGAAAAGACGAAATTTCCATTTAATGGAAAATAGAGACGCATATTCTTTTGTTACCACCGAGTGCCAATTAGTTGGCAAATGTAAATGAATCGCCTTTATTGGGGCTTCTTGAACACTTCGAGCCCTGCCACCGCACCATTGACTTGCAAATGCAAGTAGCGGTGATACAAAAAGGCAACGTGGCAGGTGGCACCCGGAAATTTATGCGCATAAATCAGGACACAAGATCCGACGACGACAGCACTCACCTGACTAAGGCCCAAATGCACGGAGGCCGTTTCCGAGATGTACATGATTTTGCCATCCGGAGCCACCACGAAGATGAAGCCATCCAGTGTTTGCAGCAGGTGAGAGCCCAGCTCCTTGATTGTAGCGCCGCGTTGCATGGCGGGCGATGAGCCCCAGGCTTCTCCAAGACCTGCAAGTAATAATTATTTTTACGTTAAATTCAGAGAAGCTTTAAAATTAATTGGAATTAAATAATAAAAACGAATCCACAAAGGAGATCTGACTTGGCTTCGCATCCTTAATTCGCAAAATTCCCACCAGCAGCAATCACACGACCGTCCACCCGCCCTGAACGTCTAAATATTATTCCCAATTAAAGTCATCGAGCGCCTTAGGTGGCCCATTCACAGCCCACTACCAGTAACCACCCACTTCCACATTCACTTCCACTCCCATTGCCACAGCCTCCCTTTTCCACTTCTACGTCCTTTGCCAAGTATTGTCCATGTATTGTCATGTATAAAGTATATAGCTCAGCACTTCCCTCGTTGTTTGTTGCCTATTATTAAAATAATTATTTCAATAAAGGGGGAAAAGGAAAAGCACAAAACAGCCTGCAACAATGGAAAGCGACAGCCACACCACCCACCCCACTCACTCGTCCTCTCGAGCAATGCGTAATTCACACCACAGAGATGAAAAGCCAAGACTGGCGACAAATTGAGTTTTCCGGATAGCGTCCGGGAAATTTTTGAACGGAACTGTAGTGCGAACTTACCGTCGGGAAAGACCTGGCGCATTTTCAAATACGATGTGGTCAGCCGGATGACGGAGGCCTTGTCCAATTGCGAAGTAATCGCCGCTGGCAGCGGCAGTAATTTGGCCAATTCACAGAACTCTGTGTTTTCCTTTTCACGTCGCGTGCGAGCCGCATTTTTGCTTTTCTCCTTCATGGCACACGTTTTGGCTATATCTGCAAGAGATCAAACAACACATAGAGTTAGTACTGGGCCAAGAATTACTCGTTAAAAATATCTAAGAACCGACCATGCAATCTACTCTCATAACAGTCCTTGCGCACTCTGCGATGGTTGGTCATGTTTCAGTTTTTCTTTTTGTGTTCTGTCTTAAATCCTTGCTAAACAGTCGTCCTGTGAGCTGTAGCTCATATCCCTGCAATCACCTGTTTGCAACTGAGATGCTTTTCTCCCAGCCAAGCAGTTTTAACAGTTTCCGAGCAGAGATCCTGAAAAGAATCCCGCTGTTCCTACCTGATCTCGGGAAAACACGCCATTGGCTGAGATGAGTTCTACCTGTCTACCTGTCAGGACAATTGACTTTTCGCAATGTAACTAATTCAGAAAGATCCTCAAGAGAGAATGGCAAACGTATTGGATGACGTTGGTGCCATCTCACTCGACCTGACCTCTGCATTCAACAGGTTGACTCTGGCCCACCACAGGAGTTGACTTTTATCTACATACATATTATTCGTTTATGTGTCTCTGTATAAGCACATAAAACACAAATGATGACACGCACACACAGGAGGAGCGGTTAGGAGGTTAGGACTATATGCCATACATTTGGGATGACCCACAGTCAGCATCTTGCCATTGATAGTTTTCGAACGTGATTTTGGCGCAGTTTTGCCAAAATCCGAATCATGCGAACTCCTGCTGCGCTTCGCTTCCCATTGAGTCGCTTTCCTTTGAGAGTTTTAAGAACTTGTTTGTACTACAAGGAATTTGCACTTAAATTCAGGCTTATTGACATAGGTCACGTAGTTTTAAATGCAGTTTTCCTCTTAGATTGGCCACAATGAAGGTCGGTATTTCCAATTACAAAATGTTTAGAAGAATGAAATACAGCCTTAAGCTGCACTACTTCCGGAGTTCATAAATCATTGTGGTTATTTTAACTTTATAACTTAATAGCAATAAATACTTGAAATATTATCAAAGCTTTCCCTAAGAAATTGGCTATTTTTTAGGCACTTTATATATTAATATCAACGAGTATGAAGTACGATCAGCTTAGACCTGATTTCATAAATCTTTATTTTCGTCCTGCCGCATCCCAAAATGAAACATTTGTCAAAAGGCAGAGATTGAGAGAATTGCCGGCATCCGTTACACTTTCGCAGGAGCAACAGATTTGCTCAACGATCATAATCCTAAAGAATATTCCGCGCTAAGCCGCAACGCAAATGTGGCAACATGCGCGTCTGAAGTGAGGTCGCCGGTCGTCCCCTTTCTCTTTATACAAAACGAAATCAGGAAAAATTGGGAAAAACGGATAGGCGTGTCCATTAAGACCGCGATTATTATAAATGACTCGAACAGGAGTTAGCCAGAGGGTCTGAGTCTGAGCATGTGGTGGAAAATAATGTATAATAGGATAGTTTATGGACAGTAAGTGGGTCAATATCATTCAGGATGTTTGCCTTTTCCGGAATGAACATTACACAGTTTCTTAAATGAATGTATCTTAGAAGATTTAATTATTATAGAAAGGGGAACAGAACATTTAGAAAAGGAAGTAAAATAACTAATCCGGTTGTTATTATTTACATTCATTGCGAGGAAATTCTGTCTTTATAAAATTAATAATAATACAATGTTCTAAAAAAATCGTTTACCAAACAATCAGCTTATTTCATTGTAAACTTCTTCAATAAGATAACTAATTTCAATAAGACAAGTAATTGTTTATAAAAATATGTCATAACTGATTTTATACTTGTATATCAGGAAAATATTCTTAAGCTGTTGATATATATTGACAGAGATTAACAGGTGACGGAATACTAAAATCTTATATTCTGATTGCATAGTGCATTAATAATAAACGTATATGTAAGTTGGTAAGAAATTTATAAATTATTACAAAAGAAAATATAATAAATCAAATCAAATCATTCCAAAATCCCATATCTTAACAAATATAGATGGTTGAAAATAAATCAGCTTGCAAATTGCCGATGGAGAAAAGGGAACTTTGCATACCGGAGTGTAAATAAACACGAGCAACTCATGGCTCTCTTCCCGGAAAGTGAATAAAACTAAAACTCATGCTTCGAATAGCAAATCAATGAACCGGATCTCAGACCAAATCCCTACCTCCGCCCGCCAACTTGACCTTAATCTTGTTACAGGCAAACAACACAACGGCAGAATATAAAGACAAATGGGTAAAAGTTTAAAAATAAAGTCAACACAAATCTTCACACTGAACTTGAACTACAGAGCTGTGGTGCGCAGGGAGTGACCCGGAGGAAGACGCTCCGTAGGGACGGCAGGTTGGATGTTTCCCACGCTGCGGACAGCAGTGGGAACTGGAGAGTCCATAAAGCCATTAACGAGACACTGGACGCTGGGCCGATGCTAATGTGGGTGTTGCGGGTCCGGCGCTGTTCTTCCTTCCTTCTTCCGATCCCAGGTCGGATCCGGTCATGCGGCGAGTGGTGCCGCTACTTTCCCATAAGGACGACGACGGGCCACAGGTATGGTAAAACAGTATCCTGTTCGGTTCTCACGCCAGAGCGTAGGGATCCGGGAATTTCCAATCGGCCAATTGATAACCAGACGGGGAAAAACGGCAAAAAAGCAGCACATGTCCTGGAAGTGTGAGAAACTTCCTGATAGTCAGGTATATGTACAAACGTAGTACATGGCACCGCACCGAGATTCCCAGGCACCTTCGGAGGTGGCCTATCAGGTGGGAAGCCGTGGAAAGCGGAAAACTCGCCATACGCTTTAAATGTGCGTAACATATGCCAGGGCCGAAACGATAAGAGCTCTCTCGTCGTCGGCTTCAGCCAAAAATTATCAACAACGCTGAGGAAAATAGTTAACAAAAAACAATTTGGCATTTTGGCATACAAAAGAAATCAAGACAAATTTAGAAATTACGAATTATTTTTCTTCTTATTTTCCAGATTTTGTGATTTAATAAAATTTGTAAGGCACTTCTGAATAGATCAGAAAGGAATCATGAATTCAAATCATTTTATTATTTTCAAAAATGTCCGTTTGATATTTTTTCATTTTCCTTGGTCCTTGGTTTTCTGCTCAGTGCACTTTATGTACCAAACTCCCCACATTCGTGGTCCTTTTCCTCTCATCCCGTGTGTTTTTCCAACGCACATGAAGTTTTTATCTTGAAACAACAGTCGACGTCGCGACACTGAAGGGGCAGCCTCCCTCGAAACGGGTCGCAAATTTTAATGCTCAGCTCGCGCTTAATTTTCGGATTATAACCCGTAAAGCAAACAGCGGCTAAGGACACCACCAGGACCAACCGTATCCGCATCCGGATCCGGACTCTTGCCTCCGTACATTAACCCAATTTCAATATGCTTTTTGATTTGTTTGCGCGGCACTTTAACATTATCAAACAAAAGTTTGTACAATTCGAGGGGTGTGTTCTCTGGGTCTGTGTGTGTGTTGGGTGTGCTGGTTGTGTGAGGGTGTTGGGCGTACGTTTTTAATTGCCTGCAATAACAAGTAACGACGGCCATAACAACAACACCACCAGAAGCACCAGCACCAGCTCCGCAATCTCAGAGAGGAGGAAACCAAGCGCTGCCTTTGTTTTTGGTTGCCCAAATCCGCTAATTGCGCACAGTTGTCGTTGTTTTTGCCGCCGTTAAGACTACACTTTTGGCCCTTTTACAGCCCGTTAAATTATGCAAAGAACTGCCTATTGATTAGCATAATGGTTTATGAGCAAAGAATTAACCAAGGATTGCTTAAAGGCTGCCAAAAGTTTGGAACGCAATCGCATTGGCTTCCTGAAAATTAAATTTGCTGCCAGAGCAACAGTCGTTGTCTATCTAACAATATAAAATAAGATTTAAGGGTTTAAATACAACATTTATATTTAATTATATAGGTTTACTTTAACGAAATTGAAATTATTAAATAAACTAAAAATAAAATGTTTCCCCTGTGCAGAGATTTCCTATAGGAACTTTTTATAATCTAGGTAACTTTAATAATAATTTTCCCACATGACAGAGATCAATATTGACGTACCTTTAAAGGATCTAGTGGAAAAGTTTGACAATTTAGGAACCATTTAAAATTGTCATATTTCGTGATATATGAGAATAAGTTGGAAAACACCTCAGCTATAATTTGTTTCTAAAAATGAAACAATAGTTTCATAAGATATATTGGTTCTACTGGGTCCATTATGAACTACATTTATGTATGTATATATTTACTAACTGCAAGTTTCACTCAAATAGATCTAGATCTAGATAGAGATCAGATATATGAAGAGGCAGATGGAAATGGTTAGATCGACTTGGCTGTTGATGTTGATCAAGATCTTTGTTGCGTTGCATAGTTCTGATTAAATTCAAAAGACTCTTTTCTAGGGCAAAAAAGAAAACAAAGTTTCGCCATTTTAAATGTGTAATTGGTCTACCAGCAGTGCAATATTTATACATATATTCTGGAAGTACGATGTCCTTTACACAATTTGTATACTTTTATGCTTACATATGAAAAATAGCAATATATAATTATAATTATAATAATATATAATTATAATGAATAATCAAATAATAGTCCAATTGCCAGTACAAATAATAAAAAACAATTTGCGAATTGGGGATTTGTAAATTTGAGCCTGAACGCCACCGCAATGGCCGGTGACAATTCACTGCATTTATTTAACATTAATCCAACCAATTATTTTGTGGGCAGTTTTTGTAAATCAAAATTAAAACACCAGCCGGGGCAGGGCTCAGACTCGTGGCAATGTGGGAGCAACTAAGTGAAAGCAAACAACATAAAACACATTCGATCCGTCTGACCAAACCCATAATCGTAATAATAATCAACCAACACATCATAATCACAGTATTCATTACACTATATTTTCAAAAATAATTATGCATGTATTTTATTTGTATTTGTTCAACAAACATAGCCAGAGCTCCCGGTTCACAGCTTCCAGCTC